GTGTTCCCCCACATGTTGCTTCACTGAAAATGCTCGCAGCAAAAACTTAAAAGGTGTCACCTCCAATGCTCTTCCTACGTTGGGCGGTGCCTTCTTCTGCACCTTATCCACTTCCATCGCGTCGTCGTTCGGGCTCCACCCCGGCTTGGGTGAGTCCCCTTTGCTTCTTCTTCCTTTCGGCTTTGCCTTGGTAGGGCCAATCTCCTTAGCCAACGCCCACCAGCTCCTGGCTTCACGAACCAAAGGCACCCACATCGAGGAACCTCGTTCCGTCTGCTTCACCAAGCAGCTTGCTCCAGGCTCTGAGGTGAGCCAGGTACTCCATCCCGAAAGGGATGCTTGCCAAGAACTGACTACGTTGAAACCAATCTTGCAAACCAAGACCTGTTGAAGCACTACGGGCCCCAACTTCCCAAACTTCACCCGAATGTCAACCAACTTGACACATTCCATGGGCGTATCGCTAGCACTCATGAGCACAGGAAGAGGTCCCGAATGCTCCTTGACTACTTCGTAAAAACCCAACGCACTCTCTGACAACACGTGGCAGGTGGCTCCACTATCAATGAGCCATGCGAAAGAGCTATTCCTAGAGGAGGACTGGTTCAGTCTCTCGATCTCTCCGTTCGTCATGGTGAGACGAGGGGGCTCAGCTTCATTGGGCTCATTAGTTCTTGTCCCCGGACCCAAGCCACTCAGATGATGAGACCGCATTGCCATCACCTGATCAGACTGCTCGTCTTCCACAGCTCGGCCCTTGGGCTTTCCTTTGTTCTTTGGCTTCCCCTTGGGCTTTCCACCCTTTCCTTTGTCTGTCTTCCCTTTGCCTTTGCCCTTCCCTTTAGGGCTCTTCTCTCGATTCTTGGACCCAGAAGGCTTGCCACCTTTCGGTTCATCCCCTCTTCTTCCCTTTGCCAGAGCTCTTGTCGGGGCACTGCCAACTCATATGGCCTGATTTGCCACAGTTCCAGCAGAGGCCGCGCTCCCCAACTGCATTCAGCGAACCAGCATCACACAATCGGGTTTGCTCCTCGTAGAACCGGATGCTTTCAACCAGTTCCTCCCAGCTCCCAGACTTCCCATGCAGGACAACGTAATGCCTACACTCTGGGCTGACAGATTGAAGAAGAAGGGTTGAACGATCAGATGCTCCAAGCCTCAGTTCAGGGAACCGATGCAGCTTCTGGTCTACCTTCCCAAGCTCGTCCTCAAGGAAGCGGACGCAGTCAAGCGGTCGCTTGTACGAACTCGCCTTCGAAGTTAGGCGAAGGGCTTCATCTCTCACAGCAATGGCCTCCATGCGAGAGACAATGCTGAAGGTCTGGTGCATTTGACGCATCACCTCATAACCACAAGCAGCTTGTCCTTGACGCATCGACGTGCTTCTCACCAGTTCCATCCCACGTTCGAACTTCTGCAGACTTTGTTGCAGGTAGTAAAACAACCTTGCCGAACGCGATGCTACCGGAACTGCCATGTCAGACTGCTTGATCTCACGGTCATGCGTCATTGCCTGGCGCAACTCATTGACATAGTTGTCGTCTATCAACGCCAGCCAGGAAGCAAGCACCTCGCACCACCGATGGTACTCCTCCAGCTCTCTCACACGCCCTTTTCCCATCGACACATTATCGATGAGCGGCAATGCTGGCAGATACTTCTCTGCACGGTTACTTCCAACATGCAGGTTCTGTGATGGTGCCGGTGGAGGAGCAGAAGCCTTTGCCGTGGGACTTCCAGCAGCTGCTGCACTTGAAGCACCCCCAAATGGGTTGCTCACAGCTGCCGACAATGCTTCCTGCTCACGTCTCCTTCTCTCGTCGGCCTCCATCTTTGCCACCAGAACTTAAAGTGTCTGTTGCTGATTCTGCATCATCATTTGCTGACTCTGCATCATCTGGACCATCATCTGCTGGAGTTGAGGGTCAAGTCCGACGACCGTGGCGGTTCCTCCCGCTGGAGCAGAAGCTCTAGGGGGTTGTGTTGGCGGTTGTTGCCCGTCCTGGGCACCACCGGGGCCAAACAAAGCTTCGTCGTCTTCGTCTTCAGGCCCGGGGTCAGCCATGGCTTCTAGTTTCTGCGAGCGTGCTACACACGCTCCGCTACTATGTGAAAACACAGCAGCAGCGCGCTGAACCCTCTTTTTCTCACGACTTGAGCCAAAGTAGCTCAAACGTCAGTGGGAGTTCTCGGGACCTACCCAACTACACCTAAAGCAAGCAAAAACGTGCATAGTCACTTCTACAGCTTCCAGACACACATCCCTACAACTCAAGCACTTTAAAAGGCTTTTCCACTTAAAGCAGCACTCCCGTCAAGCCTCCAAGGCACAACTACGGAGTTCCTACAACTACACACACACAACTCTGAGCCAGCATGCAGGACAACAAAGTTAACATGTCCGACGACTTCGAGTATTGTATGTTTCGGGATCTTTCAGGGCGACTTTAAGGGGGGGCTTCAAGAAGCTTCAAGGGTCCCCTTGTTGGTTCCTAAGTTGAAACTAGAATTGTCTGGCTGGGCGCGGATTTCATCCTTCATGATCGGGTTTTAAATCTTGTTTTATGGGTTGCAGTGGTGGCGGTTCGGCAGCTTGCTTCTTTTTTCTGAAAATTCTTCGGGATTCCTCTTTTCTGGCCAAGGTATAACTCAGTCATAACTGGTGTTTGAACTTTCGCGCCGGGACGTTCTGGGTTCCAGGATAGCGGGCCAAGCTGCTGCATCAAATCCGAGTTCTTCTCAAAAGGATCCCTGTCGAGAAACAGGCCCTCGAGCAGACCGTGGGTTTGTTGATGTGGATAAATCAGACATGGGTGCAGCTGCGCCCGGCTTTGCAACTTTTGGATCTTCAACGTCCGGCAGTGACAAACTTCAGCATCTCTTCCAGTGAACGGCAGACGGCTTTTCGGAACACAGAAGCAGATTTCTTGAGCAGATGGCAGCCGCCAGAGGAGTTGCAGCACGGGTTTGAGCTCTTGTACAGGTATCAAACTTTCGGGCTTTTCAGGCGTTCCTCCTTCACTTTCGGATGTAGCAGTTCTAAAGTGGGGAATGTCTGTTGATTCGCCTGGATCTGTACTGTGTTCATGCGGCATGCTCACCTTCGATGCTTTGACCGCCACATCCAAAAAGTGATGAAGTGTTTCGTCCGATAGTCCTTTGTGTCGTGGAGTGCACCGCGTGAGATATCTTCGGCATCTATTCTGGTGTTCTAGATGTTCGGGTTTGGCGAATGCGTGCATCGTGAAAGCTTTTCTTTGCTGCACTTTGGGCGATGCTGACAGTAAAATATAAACGTATCTTGTGTTTACTCAAGGATGTTTTTATTTTACTTCAACTGAGCTGTCACTTTGCTTGCGTATCAGCCATCGGCCCAAAGTGGAGAGACTCATGTCTGGACACATGACATGTTTCGCATTGCATGGGCAATTTGTAATGGTCCTTTTGGTCGTGGAGTGCATTGATCCGATTTGCGTGTCTTCGGCATCTATTCTGGTGTTCTAGATGTTCGGGTTTGTGCATCGTGAAAGCTTTCCTTTGCTGTACTTTGGGCGATGGCTGATAGTAAAATATAAACATCCAAATATGGAGGCGGATGAGTGAGAGATGACCTTATGGGTATCGCCATGGATCCCGCGATCGTTGCAATCAGTGCATGCAAGTGGCAAGCGCGTTGACGATGGAGAAACCTCATGGATGAAGATCTTTCCAATCCGCTACTATTTTTTCGTTTTTGAAGAGTTCGTTCTCACTGCTGGTAGGAACTGACGTTCTAAAGCATTTGAAAGCACTTGTGTGATTTCGTTGAGTCTTTGCGTCCTTCGTGATTTTGGCTCAAGAATGAGATGTCTTAGGTTGGGTTGCATCTGGCACTTTCAAGGGAAACGGTGCCGAAGGGACCTCAAGTTTTTCAAGGGATGTGGCCGTGCAGAAAAGGCAGATACTGTGTCGCGCTGATTCGCGCTGTTCCCGGCAGTGTACGAGAAACACTCAGCGTGTTTCTTCGGAATTTATGTTTTTTGACCCGTTTATCTTTTTCTGGCCTCGACCCTCTTTTTCATCCCCGCAATTGAGTTGAACAAGTTTTTCCTTCAAGTCTATTTGCGCCTCGACAAATCTTTTCAAAGCCTAGCAAAGACATTTTGCCAACCCCGAGTCTTTTTCAGATCGCCAACTGTCCTTTCACTTTGACAAAAACAGAAGAACTTCAAAGATGAAGAGCTCCAACAGGTTTTACGGTTCTAACTTGAAGTTAAAATTTACAACTTCCGCAGGAAGTTTCAGAACACGCAGACTGTAAGACCGTAAGCACACTACGAGATGTCGTGATGAGACGACTCTAATGAGTATTGGGTTCTACGCCCACAGCATTCAGAATGGGTTTCATAGGTGGTTTTTGCATTTGTGAACTTTCAGCATTTTCAGTACTCGCTTTGTCATGCGATTGGTTCAGACAGCAAAGTATTTAGGATTGACATCTTGCACGTTGTATATGTGATTTCCCATGAACCGCACAGGTGCCTCACTATCTAGTATCACCATCTAGAATCGACATGAAACTTGCGCAGTCGTGGTCGGCGTGTGGTATGTTCAGCATCTGCACTTTGCAATCCAACCAAGTTTCGGTTGCTCCAAACACGGATTGAAGGTCACGTAGAGTACAAGCATGAAGCCTGTGAACGAGCTTGGGCGGCAAACGAATGACAAGGGCGAGCGGGGGCCTGATTTCCTCAAGTACCAGAAACCTCGACATGCTGCTTGACTACCAATCCAATCAGATCCTGACGGGTTTTCAGGTCTTTGAAAGAGCTGCGCAAAAAGTTCGGCCAGGCGATGCGTATGGATCGTCCTATGGCTTTCGTCGAACAGGTTAGTTGTAGTGGTTTCGTTGGACACACGCAAAGCGGGTCGAGGTTTGCACATCTTGCACTATCTGCATGTTAACCAGGCTTCTTTGTCATTGGGTGATGCAGTGGCCACAGTGTTTGGTGCGTTGAGTCATGTTTTGTACTTTGCTGCTCCACGGCTCGTGTTGCATTTGCGACTTGAGCTTCAAGGTCACCACCGTCCTCATTGATCAGGACGCCTGAGCTTGTCTTTGAATCGCTTTTGCGTTGCTGATGGCTTTGCGGCTTTGCTTCATTGAGTTGCCTGAAGGATGCGACGTCAGCTCAGCGCCAGCCGGGCAAAGAGATGCAGCATGAAGAGAATGACGAGGGTGAGTCAGAGGAGGAAAGCGAGCCCTCCGAAGAGGCGGTGGGGGGTGCGATTTGAGGTTCGTGTTCACGTTGGTTTTATGGCATGCTTGGGTTTAGAAAAGGCTACATGCTGCCATGCTTTCATGAACATCTCTTGTGACCTTCTCTGATTTTGTGTGTTCGGGTAAGAGCCTGTAGAATGCGCAGGAAGCCAGCTCGTCCGATGAGGAGGAGGAGGTTCGGTTATTGTTGTGTTGGGATTTCTTCCGCTTTAGTGGTAGGGTTGCAGTATTGAGGTGCGTTTGGTTTGCAGGACGACACTTACGAGTTTGAGAGTTGCCTCTTGCACCGGCGTGGGCCTCATTTCGGCAATCTATCGTCTGCGTGTAGCCTGCTGCCAGAGGTTTCGGGTCTAGGGTTCAGTGTGGAAGACCCGAACACACAACTTCCTTGGTTATGTTGTACTTCGCCCGCGACTCAAAGAGACGCATCCCCCGCATAGTGTGATGGCGCTGCAGCAGCAGCAGCAGCCTGGAATCCCAAAGCCCCAGCCGACAGCTCTACGGCGCAAACCCGAAACCCTATGAACCTTCGACTCAAGAGTAAGTCGATCCCTGCGAGAAGCCCAACGAAACCCTGGGCCTTAGGAAGACCTTCGCCCGAGCCAGAAACCAGACCTTGAAGCTTTTCAACCACCTCGAAATCTCCCGAGTAATCCAGGTTTCACGGCAAGTCGTCTCCTAGTCAACCTGCCGTGTGCTCGGATGCACAAGGGCGGCTGGCCTAGGGAGCTTGTGGGTTGCTTTGAGTGTTGAGGGTTGCATGCGGGGTTGATTGCGGAATGGCGTGTGGGGGTATTTAATCGGGGAGAGGAAACCCTAAACCCTAAACCCTAAACCCTAAACCCTAAACCCTAAACCTTAAACCCTAAACCCTAAACCTTAAACCCTAAACCCTAAACCCTAAACCCGAAACCCTAAACCTTAAACCTTAAACCTTAAACCTTAAACCTTAAACCTTAAACCTTAAACTTTAAACCCTGACCAGGAATCCCATCTTGGCTGAGGTCCGAATAGACCGGTGTGGATCGGCTGGCAAGCTAGCCGAAAGAGCAGCACTGGATCTTAAGGTGGCTTCTTTCGTCGTGTGTTTCTTTGGGAGAAGTGTGTGGGCAGCATGTGGTACTAATATTCTATATATCTACACACTAAGAATAGCAGTATATGTTTATGTCATATATACATCTTTCGAGAATCATATGCATATAATCATATGTGACGACTCTGCCCCTTGACAGCTTTGGGCAGATCTGACAGACACGTTGGCAGGTTCGTGGGGACCTAACTGACTTCATCCGCATACGTGTGGCGAGGGACTCGGAAGAGTTGAAGCGTCCTGTGCAAGGGTTTAGGGTTTTGGGGGGGTTTCTGAACACGCGGGGTCCCTTCTTGGAGGCCGTGAAATCTTGCTGCATCTGTGCCGAAGCCCTGACCTACATGATACCCGTACCCAGAATAGCAGCCCCACCTCAGCAAAGGTACTACTCAATCAAGGAGTGTTGCCTTTAGACATGTCCCTTCTTATGTGCAAAGGTTGAGAGGGATAGGATCTGAACCTCCACAGCATCTTCCAAGCCCCTTGCTTGGCCGATCTCGCGAGGCAATTCGCACGAAGCGGGGCATCATGGAGATCGCTGGGAGTACATGCGCAGCCAAGGTGCCGGGGAGCTTTCTTGGGGCCTTCCATGAAACAGTTCCGCTCAGTCGCAAGGCTTCAGGGTCTGTCAGACACTGTTACACTCTAGAGTTTAAAACCAGGTCTTGAACATATGCGCCGCGATATGTACATGTGTTATATATATATATATGTATACATTCATACTGTGTCTATATAAGAAGAGAAGAGCGTATAAGAATGTATAAGAGTGCAACAGAATTTATAGGAATATACAGGAATATAGAAAAATATAGAAGAGTACATAAGAATATGTCAGAATGTATAGTTTGTAATATGTAAGAATACATACGAACATATAACATTATAGGAATATCGGAATATGTAAGAAGTATATACATATATACAATCACATGTGTATATGTATATAGATAGATAGATAGATAGATAGACGGACGCCCGCCACATAGTCATAGATGATCATATATAGCCGTACATTCAAATGAGGAATCCTATCTATACTAATATGTAAAATATAGATCATTTATCATAATATATATATAATTCTTGACGTGAACCTTGCCAGGTGCAGATGTTCCGATCGGAGGTCGCAACTACGGAGGTTGCCGCCCCCCTGGTGCGACTCCCAGCCATCGTTGCTTGCCGCATCAGTGCTCTGCTTGGTTTGCGCTGCTTTCTGCAACCTTGTGAGTGGCGTCACATGCAGCAAGCTGTGTAGGGAGCCTTCCTTGATGCTTCATTTCAATGCAGTCCGTTCTCTGCAGCAACTGTTGTACCAGCAGCAAGCAAGGCAATGACCATCGTTGTCATAGTTCCGGAGGGACCACAGGCATCTTGGAATGGAGTGATGAATGCCAGATTGAAGTGGACTAGATCCTTTGTCGAGCAGACCTGGTTTCTCTTCCTGTTTCAGAGGTACTTCAAATAGTTGGTCGTTATTTTCAAGCTAGGTGCACGTATGATAGGAGTCTTTATCAAGACCCCAGAAGCTTACGCTAGAATACTCCTCATCCCTAAGGCCTATACGTCCAAGTTCAGACAGCTCAGTTGACGAGCAGAGCCTCCCTAAGCCCAGCCCTCGAGGCTTTAAGCCCGAATTGCCGAACGGTTTTGGTGTTTGCTTTCGCAGGCCAAGGTACTTTCCGGGCTGTCGGGCATCGAATAGTATATCTACATATCATATAGAACGATATAGAATACGCTACGGGGTTTACGAGAATAGGGGACCCCTAAAATAGATCCCCCAAATAGTAGGATCCCATTAGAATAAGGACCCCAATAAGCTACCCTTAGTTTCGGAAACCCCTGAACCCTAAACCCTAAACCCTAAACCCTAAATCCTAAACCCTAAACCCTAAACCCTAAACCCTAAACCCTAAACCCTAAACCCTAAACCCTAAACCCTAAACCCTAAACCCTAACCCTAAACCCTAAACCCTAAACCCTAAACCCTAAACCCTAAACCCTAAACCCTAAACCCTAAACCTAAACCCCGAACCCTAGACCCTAGACCCTAAACCCGAAACCCTAAACCCTAGACCCAAAACCCTAAACCCCTCTCCCCCCCCCAATTTTGGAAACCCCCATATACCAATCGTACGTATCTCCTGATGCTCTCGCTCAGGGAGCCGAGTGGTGCTCGCGAGCCGAGAGGCCAAGCCGGTGCTGGTGGGGTTTAGGGTTTACGGTTTAGGGTTTAGGGTTTAGGGTCTAGGATTCAGGGTTTAGGGTTTAGGATTGAGGGTTTAGGGTTTTAGGGTTTCTGGGAATCAGGAAATCCTGCCCTGCTGGTCCATATTTCACGTGCTGTATGGCTCTTGACCAGGGACAGAAAGGCTGTGAATGGCGTGGACGGTTGGGTCCTTGTCTGCCCGACCCTCAATGCTCTCAGAAGGACTTGGGTTTAGGGTTTAGGGTTTAGGGTTTAGGGTTTAGGGTTTGGGGTCTGGGGTTTAGGGTTTAGGGTTTAGGGTTTAGGATATAAGGTAGTTGAGTGGGGTTCGGCGCTGGGCAGTGGCTGTTCCACATTCGGGGTGCCTTTTGATGAGCCCATTCCAAACCCAAATTTCATACGAAACAACAGCCCCTGCGGTGTAAGTTCTCGATTGGAGTCCCAGCTTGCGATTGCGAATTTGCCCTTCAGGTCCTGCAGACAGCACCCGCAATGTCCTGGAGAAGATCGCCGATGCCGGTGGGATTCGGTCAGGCGGGTATCTGTGCTTCAAGCGCCGCGCCTGCTCCCCCTTGCAGAAACACCAGTGCCAACTACCGCTTGAAGAATTCTCTGTGCCTCCTCTACAAATAAAACCCTGAACCTTAAACCCTAAACCCTAAACCCAAAACCCTAAACCCTAAACCCTAAACCCTAAACCCTAAACCCTAACCCTAAACCCTAAACCCTAAACCCTAAACCCTAAACCTTAAATGACATCCTAAGGTCGTTCTAGCTTCGAGTCTCGCATTCGGCTGCGCAGGTTTGCAGTTGCAGTACCACTTGTTCATGCAGGCAGGCAGAGCGAGCAATGCTAGTAATTTCAGCATAAGAACAGCAAGAAAAGAATAGCAAGAGACGCAAGAAGCAAGAGTAGCAAGAGTAGCAAGAATAGCAAGAATAGCAAGAATAGCAAGAATAGCAAGAATAGCAAGAATAGCAAGAATAGCAAGAAAGCAAGAGTAGCAAGAATAGTAAGATCAGTAAGAATCATAAAGAACAGTAGAATACTAAGAATAGTCAGACTCGTGACAGCCATGACGGTGATGCTCTTGCGTGTCCCTGTGCTCCAGGGCAAGCAAGGCTTAGGAGCCTTTGGCTTCGTGGCTGGGGGCTCAGAGAACAAGCCCTGAACCTCGTTCAGCCCTGAACCCTGAACCCTGAACCCTAAACCCCAAACCCGAAACCCTAGACCCTAAACCCTAAACCCTAAACCCTAAACCCTAAACCCTGAACCCTGAACCCTGAACCCTGAATCCTCAACCCCCAGAAGCCCGGGGGCTCACCGCACCCCCCCGTCACGCCTTCAGGTCTGCGCCTCGGACTCGGTCTCCGAGAAAATCGTGGCCGTGAAGAGCCTGAAGCTGCAGGCTCCTTTCCAACAGTTTAGGGTTTAGGGTTTAGGGTTTAGGGTTTAGGGTTTAGGATTATTAGAGTGATCGAATATAGAAGTAGTAGAGGTTTTTTCAAGCATGACAAGCAATAAGCGGCAATAAGAGTGACAACAAGGAAAATGAGGATGACAGTACTGATGGTAGTGAAAGAAACAATTACAATGGTTTCTGTGAGTGAGGGCTTAGAGGGTTATAGGATTATAGCAGAGCCTACATAGGATTCATATCTACTTAGGCTTTCCCAAATTTTCCAGCTTTTCATGGGGTTTCAGGGTCTACAGGGTGCCGTTCTCATTTTTGTCGGCTGTTTGCAGGGCTGCTTGGGCTGAGGGAAAGAGCCCCGCAGTCGAAGCACTTCAGCCCCGATTCAGCTGTTCAGTTCTGTAGATAAGGGATTTAGGGCCTTAGCCTCCTTCCCAGGGGCTTTGCAAGAAGGCGCCGCATGTTACCAAGCCCCCCAACGCCCAAAACCTCCCTTTTCACAGAGCTGACGAGGTGGACCCCCTAGTGATTTTCAACGAAGCGCTGGCCTCGATCATCAGCACGTCTTGGGACCAACAAGAGGGATCGCATTTCTGGCCTGCTCGGTATATAAAGCTTTTCATTCTTGGGCTTAAAGTTTAGGGTTTCGGACCCGATGGCACCGAGGTGGCGATGTTGAGGGCAGCGTGCGGGGCCCGAGCTCCACTGCAGCAGCCTGAGGGAGAGCTCTCTTTCGCACGCTGATGCGCAGGCAAGGCCACCCCAACATCGTCCGCTTTCGTGGTCTCTGGGCAGATCCTACGAACGCCGAGCAGTCGAAGGCCTCGTTGCATCTTACGGCTAGAACGCGAAGCTTTGGCGAAGCCAGGGTGGTCGACAGTGGTACATGGTCATGGACTACTTCAAGGGCGACTTGCGCCTGGGCTTCTGAGGACAAAGTCAGAGAGCCCAATATCCCCTAAGATAGCCTACCACAGGTGTCCGCTTCGTATTCGTTGCTGAACTTGCCTTATGTCTCGTTACTGCCACTATCATGACAGTGACATCGGTGAACATGATGATACTGATGATAACCATACGTGATCATCATGTTTCTGGAGACATCACCCCCCAGATGCCATCGGTTCGCAGTCTCCTTGGCAGCCCGCGCTGCGTGATGGCATCTGGAGCATGTCGGCTTCCCAACAAATCGGCACACAAAGTTGCGGCCCGATTTGGTCAGACAACAAGACCAAGCATGCAAATCCACCGTGCCTCACTTGCCTTCAGTTTCGCATTTTCTCCAGCACGTGCGTGTCGCGCTTCGGGTAGTTCTTGCGGGAGGCATGCCCTGTCTTTAAGAAGATGCCTTACATAGCTCATCAGGGTCATTTTTGAGAGGTACGATCGAATCGTGGAGGGCCGACGGCTCCGAGAGAAGGACGGTGATCGAAATAGCTGCTTCTGCGTGGGGCGAATGGGGCCATTTCTGTTCAACAGAGTCTGTGTTCAGAGGTGCACGTACCAAGAGAGAAAGCGTTTGATCTGGAATGGCAGAGAGATATATATATATATACATATATTTTTTTTGGGCAAGGAGTGCGTGCCAATCCTTCACAGCGTCCTTTCGTCGACGCCATCTCAGCATTCTTGTCCTCGTAGCTGGTCGGAGTCCAAGTGCTTGGCAACAAACACCCCCTGCCCTGCCCTAAGGATCGCTTTTCTTCACAAGCGCCAGATTTTCCACAGGCGCGGCCAGCGCTAGGAAGCAGAATCCAACTCCGAATCCCTAGGCCCGTAGCCAGGAGGTGAGGCAGCTCAAACACCCAGTCCTTTATTATGCGGTGGCATGTCGGACTATACATCGTCATCGTCATCGTCATCGTCATCATCATCGTCGTCGTCGTCGTCGTCATCATCATCATCATCATCGCCACCACCGCAAGCACTACCACAATCATCATGCAAATCGCTTGAAAGCTTTTCGCTTTAGTGATGCTCCCTTTGAAGAATCTGGGCTTGTCAAGCTGTACGTAACATAGCTCGTAGTTGCATGATTATTAGGGGATACCACTGCGTGAGCCCTTGTTGTTTCGGCCTCTGCCCTCGCCAGGGACATCAAGCCCGAGAATCTGCTCATCGAAACGGCTGCAAAAGTTGTCGGACCCTGAGCCAGGCTTGAAGTTCTCACAAAGACTATGATAAGCCAGATGTAACCATCATTCTGCTGTTGCCCCAAACCCACCACTCTGAAGCGTGATGTACCCGTGCTGCTGGCACCTGGCCGGCGAGAACTTGAGGTTTTGACAGACTTCGGCATTGCGTGCCTGGTCACAGACGAGTCCGAGCTGAAGCGCAAGGTTTCCGCCTCATGTGGTGCCGGCCATGAAGCATCCTCAAATTGAAGCCTGCCGATGTTTTTGTAAAAGGAAGTCCCTTTCGAAGCTTCTCTGCTCTTGGTCATGAGGTTGGAACCGTCGGCTATGCCTCCCCCGAGATGTTGGCGGGTACGGCAACAGGCTTTGAAGGTGACGCAGCTTGGCGGGTATTCGGCTTCAGACTGCATCCTGGACCTTTACAAGTATACATATATGTATGTATGCATACATGTATAGTATATCTGTTCTGATCTACTCGTAGAGTATGATTGAACCCCCCAAAAAGGCAAACACGCAAAAATGAATGCATAAACACCTAGTGATAACATGGATGAATAAGAACAGAAAGGTAAATGAACAAATACATACATGTAAGTACAGACCTAGACAGAAGTACAGACCTAGATAAACACACGAATACATATTTAAGAATAACAAAAACACCAATAATGATAATGATCATGAAATAGAAATAATCAGGATCATAATAATAGTAATTATAATCATAATAATCATAGTAATAGTAATAATAAGAATAATAGCAGCAACATAAACAAAACGTAATAAGAAACATAATGTAAAAGAAACTTTTGCATCCTTTCAGCTGAGGAGTTCGGAGCGGGCATCGTCCTGTACTTCATGCTCTCCAAGTCGACGCCGTTCCTGGCGCCCACGCCGGCCATGACCGTCGAAAAGACATTTCAAGGGAAGGCCGGCCTTGAGCCCCCCTTTGGGTTTAGGGTTTAGGGTTTAGGGTTAGGGTTTAGGGTTTAGGGTTTAGGGGTTTAGGGCTTCGGCATCCTACGAAGCCGTACGCCCCCCCATACTCCTGCATAAGAAGGATGCCGCGGTTTTTCGTGGAACCAGAGCTCCACGCGAGAGCCCCTGCCTTTTGGTCTCATCACGGCAACTTTCTCATTGATGTAGGGTTTAGGGTTTAGGGTTTAGGGTTTAGTGTTTACGGTTTAGGGTTTAGGGTTTAGGGTTTTTTCATGTGCCCGACATTCCCCAAAGTATTACGTTTGGCGGAAGACGTGGGCCTTGTGCTTCCCCTAAACCCTTGCCCTGAACACGAAATAAACCCTAAGCCCTAGACCGCAGCTCTAGCCCATGTTGCTTGTGAGTCTGCACCAGCTGCCTCCTCCCTAGGCTAACTTCCGAACATAAGTTCCCACAGGTGGAACAGAAAACCCCCACACAAGGAGCCCCTCCAAGAGCCTTGGGAACTAGAACGTGTGGGTAATGACCTAGCTCCGTGTTGCGATGTGTGGGCAGCGTGAGACCTGGAACCTGGGACCCGCGATCCTTCAATCGAGTGCTTGCGGTGGCAGGACTTAGTACAATTGCTGCTAGGCTTGAGGAATTCCATGGTATCCCCCGGTGGCGTAAACCCGTCACCTTACAAGCAAGGCATCAAGCAAGTTTGGCCTACAGACCAAGTGACCGTAGGTTCAGTGCAGTTGAACAACAAAGACCACAGAGCCACTTGAAGCAAGTGATCTGCCAAGATTGGGTCTTGCCAGAGGTGAACATGGCCTATCAATGCTTCGACCACATCAGCGAGAGTTGTCGCAGCATGATCAACGGGCTGGTGTGCAAGGCCTGCGAAGCATCCGTGGTGAGGGAGGGGACAAAGCAAAACTCTCCAGCATGACAGGACGTTTCAGCTCGCGTCAGAGCACATGAAGCCTTGAACACGACCTTCTTGCCAGAGTCTCAACTTCTGTCTCTTGCTCATTTGGCAAAGGGCGTAGTCATTTATAGCAATATTGCAAGCTCATTGCTTGCTTTGGTGGGCAGCTACACTTGCCTTGCTTGCGCGTTTGCCTGGCTTGATATATGGGGGCGGACCTTGGCAGCTGAATGTTGGCAGCAATAGCAGCCAAAAATGAAGCCTCAACTTTTGAGGCCAAAAATGAAGCCTCAACTTTTTGAAGGGCATGGCCACCGAGAGAAACTGTCCTGCCTAAGGGCGACCCGTGCAAGCTTGACTGAGCCGGTTCTGGACTGTCATGGCCTTAGCTGTGACGCTCAATCGTCTGCACGTTTTGCTTCCTAAACCCTAAACCCTAAACCCTAAACCCTAAACCCTAACCCCTCAGCCCTAAGCCCTAAACCCTCAGCCCCAAGCCCTAAAGCTTCCTTCAGCCTTAAACCCTACACCCTAAACCCTACACCCTGAATCCTAAAACCTAAACCCTACAAACCCTAAAACCCTAAACCCTAAACCCTAAACCTAAACCCTAAACCCTAAACCCTAAACCCTATAAACCCTATAAACCCTATAAACCCTATAAACCCTATAAACCCTATAAACCCTATAAACCCTATAAACCCTATAAACCCTATAAACCCTATAAACCCTATAAACCCTATAAACCCTATAAACCCTAAACCCTGACTTTCCGTGGCAACACCGGCCGTGCATCCTGAAGGCTCGGTGATGATGAAGCCGAAGGGGCTCTCCTGCCGTGTCTTGTAGGGTTAGGGTTTAAGGTTTAGGGTTTAGGGTTTAGGGTTTAGGGGTTAGGGTTTAGGGTTTAGGGTTTAGGGTTTAGGGTTGAGGGTTTAGGGTTTAGGGTTTGCAGCCTAGCACATGAAGTGAGGCCGCTTTCCGCGACTTGCCTCAGATCTTTCGGCTTATGTGGCTGGCATACGTCCAGCCCTTGCTCCGGGAACTCCGCCTTTGGTCGTACGCCAGCCATAGCTCTGGTTGGGGCCTCTCATTGCTCCTCCTCCTGGCCGTCTGCTGCTTCCTCTTGGGCTGCTGCTGTGGCATCTTTGGCACCTCTTTAGTGCTCTCTGCCGAGCTGCGACACTGCCTGGGACGAATTCTCAGGCTCCTTGACCTCTGGCTGACTGGGCCTGCGCCTGGTCGTACGCCAGGCTGGTGGACAGGGAGGCCGGACCAAGTTCGGCGGCTGCGCGAGTACGCTGATTGACCTGTTTCGTGAGTGAGCCCACATCTCTTTCAACCTCATGTCCCACAATCGAAGAGCTCACTTTGCAGCTGGCAGGCTTGTCTGTTCGAGTGAGGTACAGTCCCTCGAGGCCGTGCCAGGATACGCTTGTGCACTCAGCTGGTGGAGTACCCCTTACCGGGCCGCGGGCCCATCTGGAGCGCTGGCCCTACATTCTGGACATTGACACTCCAGCGGATCTGAGTGCCATTGGCTTCCCCTCTCAGGACCATCTCGCTCGAGGCTTGGGCACGGCTGGTGACTGGACGAGCCGCGTTCGAGAGCTGGCATTGGCGCCTTAGCAGTGGCCGAGTGTCCAGCTTCGGGTCTGCGGAACCGCTTCTACATCTGCGCTTTCTGCTCTCGACATCCAGCTGGTTTCGTCACCCAGAATTTGGCCTCCTACTACCGCGAGATCGCTGGTCAGAACGGCTCACGCCTCTGCCGTGAGTCTGCCTCGCACGGGTTCGCTTCGCGAGCCGAGGCTGCGGCCTTTGCCTGCGGTGCGGACCTGGTATGGCCGCAGGAGTTGTGAGTCAGAGGGCCCTGGGCGAGCAGGATGTCCGCTCCCTGCTCGCCGGGGCATGTCCTTCTCTGCTATGGACTGGGGGCGAAGAAGACTGGCGGGCCATCACTTACCTGCTGCGTGCGAGAAGTGGAGGTTTCAGCGTCGTGGCTCCCTCGGACGAGGGCGTTTCTGTGGTTCTTTGAGAGCGCGAAGCCCTGCTGGCACCACCAGGTGCAGAGCTCTGGGGCACAGGCCCGTCGTGTTGGCCGACCTGCCTTGGTCTGCCTTGGGGTCCTTCCGAAGGGCCGGTGGCGTTCGCTTGACTACTGGGCACGTGGTGGGCTTCGAGATGCATGGCACAGTGGCGAGACAGGAATGGCATTCTGTTCTAGAGGCCTTGGGTTTGTGGGTCGCCGAGGCCGACGCCGACGACCCCATGCAGGAGTACTTCACTGCCGAAGAGGCCGAAGAGGAGCTGGAGCCCGATGCTGCGGCCGCGGAACCGCAACCTGGCGCGGAGCAGGCCGAGCTACTTGCCCTTCGCGCCCGCGTTGCCGAACTGGAAGCTCCTTCGCCAGCTTGCAGGGCCTGCTCCGGGACGACTGGGAAAGCCAGAGGCTGCTAGCAGCACAAAGGGATTGGCAGCCACATCCCAAATCCAAGGACTGCTCCTCTACCTGTGCGAACCACGGGGGCCGACGCGTTGGCAGACGAGCCTGCCAGCGCGGGAGACCTGGATGCCGAGCTGGAACAGATTGCCGCGCAGAGCTCGGACCCCTTGCACCTGCTTTTAGCCAACCAGGCTCACATGATGCAGCAGCTCCTGCCACGCCCGGTGGATGCGATCACCGCTGCCCTCCGAGGCGCCTCGGCCAACGAAAGCGCCAGCTCCTCAGGGGCCGGCGTGAAGGGGCGCAACGCCAGGGAGGCGTACCTGAAGCAGCTGGAGAATCACGAGGAGGTGGCTCGATGCCAGGAGCTTGGTCTGGAGACGGCCGATGCGAGCATCCCGCCTGGCTTAATGCGCGAGTTCCTCGAGAAGCGGATGGCCGTCAGCGACCACAGATCCTTAGCTTGTTTCGCCACATTTTTAGCCCACGGGTGGCAGGAGGCTCGTCTGGCTCGCAACGTTCACCTCGAGGCATTTTGTGCCAAAGGCATGATGGCTGTGGAACAGTGGGTGTTGGACGGTGGCCGCCCGACTGTAGCTTGGCTTTTTGCAGGCTACTCCGAACCGATGTGGAACATGTTCGGGCGCCAGCAGCGTGCGAGTTCACTCGAGAACAGGCTTCAGACCTCCAGGGACATGGGCAATCGTCCACCTGCGACCGGAGGAGGCGAAGCCGATATCGACACCGCTCCGGGCAGCAAGGGCAAGGCACGCTGGAAGGCCAAGGCCAAACCCAAGGCAGGCCACCAGGAGCAGACAGCGTGAGTCGAAATGATGGGGGGTCTCGGGATCCCGGGGCATCGGGTCGGAGACCCATGCTCCTCAGTTTTGTGGGAAGATGTCTTTTGCGGAAGGCCTGATCCCGCCTTCTGCCAGCAGGGGTCCTCTTCCCTCCCTAGGTTTCGGTTCAGGCCCCCTCCCCTTTAAGAGCTTCAGGGACTTGAACCTTAAACCGGGGGTTGTACATAAGTTCACTGACTGGGCCTTGGGATTCATTGGCGTAAGCTTGCGGACCCCCGTGTGTCTTTCTTCTTTTGTCCTAAAGTCCTTTGTGCCCTCTGCCCGCACCGCATATAAGCGAGCGGATGCTCGCGACATCTGGCCCGTGCCCCCACCTAGGTGGAGTTGGTCAGGCCCAAGCAACCCGGGTGCCGCATCTTGCATCCTAGCCGTCGTCATATCCACCTTGAACTGGCTGTTGTTGGGTTACCCGAAGGAGCCTCCTGCCGAAGCGAGAGCCGGAGCGCCCATCACCGCCGAGCAGAGCTCGGTCCAGGACAGGTTGCTCAGATATATAGTTCGGTTCCTTCGTGCATCCGACTTTGATGCTGATTCGCTCGGACGCTGCAGCGAAAAGTTCGACAGGGTTGCTCAATTCATACAGGAACTGCCGACCTCCGGATCGGATGTGGACCTAGAAAGCCTTTTGCATGATCTGCGTTATTCCCTAAACCCGTATGGCCGACCTCGCGCCAAGCCCTCTGAAGCATCTGACTCTTGTGAACATGATCCACCTGCTGAGATCTCTGAGGCCTTCACAACCCCTCTACCGCAGCAAGCTCCCCCCTCACTCTCCTCAACCGCATGCAAACCGATTGTGGCTGAACGCATTCGCTGGAAGTACCCTCCAACCTTCGACCCCAGACCCTTCTTAGTGGACCCTCTGGCTAGGGCGGCTTTCGAAGATCCGAACATTCTGCGATTGACCCGCGAAGCCTGGCCCAAGATCCCTAAAGCAAAGGTCCATGGTACAAAGGCTGAGGTTCTTAAGCTTGCTTCTGTTTGGGATAGTGTTGGAGCTCTTCGGATTTTCAGAAAGGATCAGTTGTTCGATAAAAGGGAATGCGTAGGCCTTTTCTGTGTGCCAAAGGATGCTAGTTGTGACAGACTGATTTTAAATCCTATCGTGGTTAATGCACGAATGAGATCCCTAAACACCTTCACCAAGCAACTTGCGCATGGTTGTCAATTCTGCTTCGTGCACATTCCTCCGGGCCATGTCGCTCGGTTCAGTGCCGACGATTTGGCCGAATTTTATTACACAGTGAAAGTCACCAACGCCAGAGACATGAGAAACGCCATCTCCCTTCCCTTGCAAGCTTCGGATTTGCAGGGCTTTGCCGCCTACAACCCCACTGAACACTGGGGCACCTGCTTTATCGCGCTGGCTTGTCTTGCTATGGGAGATAGCTTAGCTGTTGAGCTTGCTCAGCAGAGTCACATGGGGGTTCTTCGGTCCTTAGGGGGTTGCCTGGTTCCTTCGGAAACGGTCACCTTCAGGCGGCCTTTCCCGAGGGGCCCCTTTTCAGAGTACCTGTGTATCGACGATCACATCACCTGTCAAGTGCTTCGCAAAGCTTGCGCCCTGCGTGGAGCCCCGGCCCGTGACACCCAGGTCTTTGCCGGGGCTTCGGATGCCTACTTGAAAGTGGGCCTTGTTCAGCACCCAAAGAAAAAACGCCGGGGGGTCCTAGCTGGGACCTTTCTCGGTGCGGACATCGATGGTGAAGCTGGCTTGGTTTCGGCCCCTCGAGACCGGGTACTCTTGCTCATGTTGTGCACCGCTGAGGTTGCCAGGCGCGGGTGTGCACGCCAAAAGCTCTCAGCATGCTGCTGGGTTGCTGGATCCATGTCCTGATGTTCCGCCGTCCGGCCATGTGCGTGCTGGACTGCTCCTTCGGAGATGCTGCTCGCTTGCCTGGTGATGCTCTGTTCAGGTTGCGCCGCAAGACGCGCAATGAGCTCCTGGTTCTGTCTGCGTTGGGCCCCATTCTGCAAAGTGATTTGCGTGCTTCCTATGTCGATCGTGTGTTCTGCATACGCCAGTCCTACTGGGGCTGGTCTCTGCTCCGCACAAACCACTCCTGTTGCAACGGCCGAACTTTGGCGTCATTGCGAGCAGAGGGGCTACTATACCAGGCTGGAGGCTCCCAGCAGTGCCGCGCTCAGAGAGCTTGGTTTCGAGTCCGAAGTCGCCTACCCTTCAACCTTCGATCCGGTTGCGGAACATTTCCCCGTACCGCCTTCTGTCCAGGAGAGCTTCCTTTTCGACTGTTTGGAGGTCTTCCGTGGCTCGGGCAATTGGTCTTCTGCTCATGCAACTGTTGGGTTGTGCGTCCATGACGGGGTTGACATTCAAGGTGATAGGTTTCGGTTTCTTAACCTTGCAGACGACGTTTGCTTCCACGAGCTGTGCGGCTTGGCTTTGCGCCGCGCTGTGCGTGACTGGCACTTTGGCCCGCCTTGCTTTTCCTATGGCACGCTGCGCCGGCCCAGGCTGCGCTCGAAAGCTTGCCCCGCTGGCTTCGACCCCGATGAGGCAGAGACCTCATTGCACAATCGTCTAGCCCGCAGGGTTGCGTTCCTGTGTATGCTCATCTTGTCCTCGGGGTGTTTCTTCAGCGTGGAACAACCGGGCAGCAGTGTCATGTTTTACCTGGCCTGCTTCCAGCGCGTTATTGCTTCGGGTGCTTGCGTCACCAGGATGTGTTTCTGTGCATTCGGTTCCGCTTTCAGGAAGGCCTCGCAGTGGCTCCACAATAAGCCTTGGCTTCTGGAGCTTGGTCAAAAATGCCAATGCAGCGAGCCTCATTTCGTAATTGAGGGCGCTTTCACTCTGGATCGCATCGCGGACTTCAATGCAAGGTGCACCCCTGACGCTCGCTCGGTGTTCGGTCGCAGCCCCAGGATTGGCGAATCGGTCGCCTCGTACTCTGCCATGTATCCTTTCAGCCTGATGAGTCGCATGGCCTCTGGCAGCCTTGCTGCTTCGAAGGGTTCTGTCTGCAAGCCAGTGGTGTGCACCCAGCAGGCCAAGCTTTCTCCCTTGGTTGCCGAGGAATGTGTTTTGGTGCGGGCCTCCCATGAGGATCCTGAATGGATCGGGGAGCTTGCCGACAGTTTGCTCTTCAAGGAACTGCTGAGGTACAAGTTTCTGCGACCGGGCCATATCAATGTTTTGGAGGCCAGGATGTACAAGACCTTCCAGAAATATGCTTCGCGCCGTCACCCTGACTCTCGAACGGTGGCCCTGCTGGACAGTCGAGTCACACTCGGGGCCGTCGCAAAGGGGCGCTCGAGCTCCCCCGCACTGCGCAGGGTTCTTCAGGGTACTTTGCCTTACACTTTAGGTAGTGGTTTGTTTTCCGGGAACTTGCACGTCTACTCTGGGCAAAACCGGTCCGACGGACCTTCACGTGGCAGGCCTTTTAAGCTCCGTCCAAACTTGTTCCGCGCTGGTTCTCTGAGCTGGAAGCTGGCCGCCCTTTCGGGTTTGACGCGGTCACCTCTTCGGCCAGGGTCCCCAAGCTTGCTGCTCGCTGGTTGCGTTTCCTTCTCCTGTTGGGGGGTGACATCGAGGAGAATCCGGGGCCCAGACCATCGCTCCCTGTTCCTCGAGGCCCCTTCGACTTGCAGTCCGGTTTCACAACTGGGACCATCGATCGCATGTCGCGTTGCCTGAGCGGGTTTAAGTCCTGGGTTGCGAGCGAGCTAGGAATTCCCTTTTCCCGCCTTTGCCTGCAACCCGAGCCCTTAGGACTCGCTCTTAGGGCCTATGGTTTGCACCTGTACTCCTCGGGTTACCCTAGGTACCTCTTTGTCTACGCCATCACGGCTGTGCAAGACGTTTGCCCCCAGCATCGCACCAAACTCACAGCCGCCTGGCAAGTGGACAAAAAGTGGCAGCATGCTGAGCCGGGCCGTTGCAGACCAGTGATCTCAGCACCAATTGTCGAAGCCATGACGGCTTGGGCTGGCCAAAGTTCACATCTTTGCTGCTGATCGGCTTTTTATGTGTGCTGCACCCTTCGGAGTATTTGCGTCTCACGCGGGCGGACCTCATTTTTCCTTCCGATGCCATGTCCGAGGAGCCCATCCTATACGTGCATGTGGGAAACCCCAAGACCGTGCGATTCGCGCGTCGACAGCACTGTCGCCTTGAGGACCCTAGTGTCATCGACTTCTTGCGTTCTCTCTATGAGGACGTCACTTTCGAAACCCCTCTCTACCCTGGTACGAAAAATACCTTCCGAAGCCAATGGAATGCCATCCTTAAGCGCCTGGGGGTTCCTTTCCAGCAGGCTTCTGATGGGGTTACACCTGGGGTCCTTCGAGGATCTGGGGCCACTTACCTCTACTTGTGTACAGAAGACTTGAGCAAGGTGGCATGGCGAGGCCGATGGGCCAGGCAGAAAACGGTAGAGTTCTACCTACAAGAGGTAGCTGCTCAAGTCATCCTTCAGCGTCTTCCTTCCGATTCCCGCTCCAGGATCTCAGCCCTCCGCCCTTTCGCATCCAAGCTTGTGTCCTTTTTCTCTTGTCGACCTTCAGTCGAAGCATCGTGAGTGTGGATAGTGGTTGCTAGGGGTTTAGTTAGGCCTCCTTCTGGGTACCCGTGTGCCTACCAGGCCCCTTTCAATCCCCGGCTGCTGTGCAGCCCCGCTTTCGACACCTGTTCGATTGGCGGCACTCTTCGATCTCTACGCTTCGCGGGCCAAAAGGCGAGCTGCTTGTGCTGCAGCCTAGCACATGAAGTGAGGCCGCTTACCGCGACTTGCCTCAGATCTTTCGGCTCCCTCCCACCCTGCCCAGGGGGGATAGTGGTTGCTAGGGGTTTAGTTAGGCCTCCTTCTGGGTACCCGTGTGCCTACCAGGCCCCTTTCAATCCCCGGCTGCTGTGCAGCCCCGCTTTCGACACCTGCTCGATTGGCGGCACTCTTCGATCTCTACGCTTCGCGGGCCAAAAGGCGAGCTGCTTGTGCTAGGGTTTTAGGGTTTAGGGTTTAGGGTCTACGGTTTAGGGTTTGGGGTTTGATTCCCCACCCCCCCCCATGGGTAGTTCCTCGAACTCTTGGAGTAGGGTCTAGGGTTCAAGGTTTAGGGTTGACCACAGGGGTAGTTCTCGAATTTGGGGTCCTTCTTTTGGGGTCCTTAGTAGAAGGGCACCGTTTCTATGGCGGACAGAACTACCCGCCAGAGCTTCCTATGGAACCCTGGTAATACGCATTTTTCGGAGAGTCAGAATGATATTAAAAATGCTTTCTTAGGGTCATGAATGTCAGTAAAAGGAAAGTATTCTCTAAACCCTAAACCCCAACATGAGGGCAGCTCAACGGCCTGGTAAACAATGCGACTGGAACATTCTCGAGATTCAGGGCCAAGGGCTGAGTCTTTACGATGGCCCCGGACAAAAGACCCAAGTGTGGCTGAGTTCTGGGATATGGCTTAGGATACAAGGGGAGAGTTTACTAAACCTTGAACCCCAAGCTGCAAACACACCCCAAAGCCTCCCAAAACCTATTTGGTGAGTTTTCGTAAAGCATGTGTTGATTTTTGAAGAGAGGGGCACACGAACCATGATTGTGTCAACCTTATGTCTTCGTTATGAGGCGGCCCCCCAAGCACGGCTCCTTTTACCACATTCTGGCGCTAGCAAAAGCGGTGGCTGCGCGCCAGCATGAACCTTAGAAGTGTTTGGTACGCCTGGGCCGAGACAAAGGTATGCGTGCAGGCACTTAGCCCCAAGATCGCCAAGCTAGCGTTGTGCCATGGACGGTCACCTATGGGAAGAACTGCGGCCACGGCGTCCAGGATCTGCTCAAGCAAAGACCGCAGCGCAGCTTCTGCCATGCTGAGAGTGATCTGCGAAGCGCGGTGCTAGCGCATTTTGGGGTTAAAAGGGATTTTTTTGGCGCGTGTTCGGGCTGGAATACCGGGGGTTACTGGCGCTAGCATAGCAAAATTTGCACGGACCTGGGTTTGTCAGACAGTCGGTCACCAGACAACGGCCCGAAGGTTTGTAGGCCTAAGGGTTGGATTTCACCAAATCCCAAGCCTTTAACCCCAACCCTCAGCCCTTCAATCTCAACCACAATCTCTTCCCCTCGTATTGAAAGATGTTGGCCCTGGGTGGGATTTAGTACCAACTTTGGCTGCGTGACTGTTGAAATTTAACGTGGACCCTTATGTGCCTTATATAGTACCTTCACGTTATATAAATACATAACTAAAAGAAAAATAGCTAAACAGATGAACGAATTTATAAAATTAAATATAAACAAACAAATAGATACAAATATAAATATAAATATAAATATAAATATAAATATAAATATGAATATAAATATGAATATAGATATAGATGTGAATATAAGTATACATGTCAATATAAGTATACATGTCAATATAAATATAAATATCAATATAAATATAACATATAAATATAGATATAAATAAAGATATAAATGAACAAATAGTATTGTCGTGAAGAGGTGCGCTAGCGCGCTTCCCAGGTAGATGTGGGTTCTAGATGCGAATACTTTCTTTTCTTATCTCCTATAGGTGTTTTTTTATCTTGAACATGACGCGGCCCCCCAAGTACACGCATTCCACGACACATGTTGGATGAATAGCATTATGAGAAATGACCATTTAATATACATATGCATATATACATAAATGAATACGTAAATACAATAAATAAATAAATAAATCAAAAAAATATATGATACGCATCTGTGGGCGACTGTTATATTCATGTACAACAGTACCTGCCAGGTCCAACCACAGCATTCTCTTCAGCATCGCTGAGAAGTCTGACAAGCAGGGGCCCGACTCTCGGAATTCCAGCATAGGGTTCATGTTAAACCCTAAGGGGGGTTTAGGGTTTAGGGTTTAGGGTTTAGGGTTTAGGGTTTAGGGTTTAGGGTTTAGGGTTTAGGGTTTAGGGCAAATTAAGGGGTAAAAGGAGGGACAACGGCCCCTTCATCGTATTCCCGTATATAAGCCCTATATATACCTTATATAGTCCTTACATACCTAAGTAGCCCCCAAATAACCCCTAAATAACCCCTGAAGTCCCCTGCAAGGGTCCCTCCTTTAGTCCCTTGATCAGGGGGTGGGTTTAGGGTTTAGGGTTTAGGGTTTAGGGTTTAGGGTTTAGGGTTGTTGGGCTGTTAAGGTTTTTACGGTTTTCTCGGTTTAGGGTGTTTACGGTCTTTTGGGGGGTTTTAGGGTTTTAGGTTTTTTGGGGTGTTTAGGGTTTCAGGGTTCTATGGTTTAAGGTTGTTAGGGTTTAGGGGTTTCCGGGTCTAAGGGGTTTAGGGTTTTGAGGGTTGGGGGTTTTAGGCTGCAAGGCACAGGTTGGAGGTTTCTTGCATGGTCCTGGTCCTGCTGCGTTTCGCTTGACAGGGTTGCTAGCACCTGGATGCGCTTTGCACATGGGAGTTGGAGAGAGAGTTGGAGTGAGAGTCGGAGTGGAAGTTGGTGAGAGCGACAGAGAGAACCCTAAACCCTAACCCTAAACCCCAAACCCTAAACCCTAAACCCTAAACCCTAAACCCTAAACCCTAAACCCTAATGCCTGGTTTGGGGGGCACCTCGGAGCGGCTTCCCGGGATTCAGGGTGGGCACCTTGTCTGTTTTCTTTGGAGGTCCACAACACAGGGCAACCTCCCGGCCATGCGAAACATGTGATCTCGGCCGAAAAGGCCGTTTTTGTCAGGTTTAGTTAGCTTTCAAAGTAGATTCTGAGTCAAGCTCAGAGCCGTTTCACCACGGGTTCCCGTGCAGGGTAGCTTTATCAGCCCGACGTTTCTGATCTTCAAGCTTCATGCCTGCATGAACAAATGCAGCCGCGGCCATTGCCTGTGGTCTGCTGCAAGATTCGTACGTGCGGGGAGAAGTTGATAGCTTTTTGCGCATGAGCTTCTAATCCTAAACCCTAAACCCTAAACCCTAAACCCTAAATCCTAAACCCTAAACCCTAAACCCTAAACCCTAAACCCTAAACCCTAAACCCTAAACCCTAAACCCTAAACCCTAAACCCTAGGCTGGCTCGCTTTACGCTTTGCTGTGGGCCGCCCTCGTGAAGGTCATGTCGGGTCGCTGCAGGCTCGAGCATCAGTGCCTTCCATTCAGCAGAGCGCTGCTCGCTGCTCTCATCATAGGACCCCCAATATAGATCCCCAAATAGTAGGATTCCCTGAGAAGAAGGACCTCAATAAGGTACCCCTATCATCGTAAAGCCGACACCCTAAACCCTAAACCCTAAACCCTAACCCCTAAACCCTAAACCCTAAACCCGAAACCCTACACCCTAAACTCTAACCCTAAACCCTAAACCCTGAATCCCTAATGTCGGAAACCCCCATGTCTTGGTGCATCCGATCATGCCACTGGTGGCATGGAGAAGGCCGGAGGACTTGGCTCATGTGTTCCAACTGTTAGCCCCTACATATATAATATATATATATATATATTTATATTTATATTTATATGCAGATTGCATATATATATATATATATCCATATATATAAAGAATAGCAAGAAGAGTTAGACTGGTATATCCTACCCAAAATTCCAGCTTACTAGCCCATTGTCAACCAGAGCACCTACGTTGCCAGGAGGGCTGCTGAGATGTCATTTAAGCACACAGCTCGCCAGCCAGGCAGCCTTTGCAGCTTTTGGCTCAGAAGCTTTCATTCTGCTCTTCCTGGTAAAAGCCCCCTTTCATGGTCTGCAGGGCCAGACTTCTTTTGATCCCGGCACTTCTGGCAGGGAGCACTGTTGCCGATGAGTCCTTGCCAGCGGAGGACTGCGAGTTAGAGGGCGGTGACTGCGGTCATCTGGGCCTCCTCCAGAGCCGAGCCGCGGCTCTGCCCCCGAGCCTCCCTTGCCCCCCCGGGCAGTCGAGGCCCAGCCCAGGGCACCCCTGCTTCCCCTGTGTTGCAGGGACCTACGGCAGCTCGGCAAAAAAAATGCCCAAAAAAGTTCAAGGGCTGCGAAGTTTTTTGGGGTCATGTATTCCTGTAAGTTTGGGTTGCAGGGTCATCATGTTTCCACGCGATATTTCGTTTTGGGGATGGGAGGGGGCAGCTGAGCGGCTTAGCCGGCTTGACCTTTATCCCAGACAACATTCCTTTGCTTCTACTACGTGCCGGCATGTCGGTGTCGCTGTTGTCGAAGTATGGCCTGAGGCAAAGATGGCTTGGACTGCCGCGCCTGCGCGGCGGGCACGTTCAGCGGGCACAGGGGCGCCACCTCCGCCGAGACGTGCGAGACCTGCCCTGCGGGGACCTGGAGCAGTCAGGTGGGGGCGACATCGGCCAACGCCTGCATGGCGTGCCCAAAGGGCCACTGGAGCAACGCCCCTTGGGATGTTATGGCACACTGTGAGGGATGTAAAAAACTTCGGAAACTTTGGAAGCCAACCGTTCTAAACCCTTAAACCCTAAGACTCCGAGCCTTGAACCCTGCACCCTGCCAATCCACGTCCCACCTGAACCTCGACGCCCCCCCCCCCCCCCCCCCCCCCCCCCGAAAAAAAACATCCTTAAAAGCCCAGCACCTAAACCTCGCTACATCAAACACTCCCGAAACCCGAAACCCGAAACCCTAAACCCCTAGCCGCTAAACCCTAATCCCTCAACCCTGAACCCTCAGCCCTAAACCCTAAACCCTAAACTCAGGGCCTAGGCCGCCCCCCTACAGAAGGGGGGCGGCGCTTAAGCCCTTTGACCTCTATGGCGAAAGTCGACCCAGGTCGCTTGCCCGCCTCCTGCAGCCAGGGGGTCGGCAGCACCCACGATGGGCCCGGTACCGGAGCAGGTGCTCCCGGGGACCAGTACTGGTCAAAGTAAATACCCTAAACCCCAAGGTCTTTAATCTGGATGGCGCTGGCATTCCGGGAGGGGGTACCCCAAGGCCCCCAGGCCAGGAGGACCCGGACCCCTCACCGCAGCGTGTCCAGGGACCAGGGGGCCTCAGGGCAGGCCAGGCAGGACGGGTGCTCAAAGCTACCACCCCTAACCTCCTGACGCCCCCCTACCCCCCCTGGCCCCCCCTGGAACCTGGGCCTCCCCCCTGCCCCCCCTCACCCCCCCTGGCCCCCCCCCCTCTGGCCCCCCCACCCTGGCCCCGCCCTGGCCTCCCCTGACCCCACCCCCCCTGGCCCCCTGGCCAACCTGGCCCCCCCTGGCCCCCCCTGGCCCCCCCTGGCCCCCTACCCCCCTGGCCCCCCCTGGCCCCCCCCTTCCTTCCTGACCCCCTGATTCCCTTTGAGCCTCCTGACGCTGGCCTGGCCTGCCCTGGTCCCCCCCTGACCCTGGCCCTGGCCTTCGGACCTGGCCTTGGGGAAAGGTTTTTTTGAAAGTAAGCGATTGTCATGAGTTTAGGCCTAAACCCTAAAAGGAATAGGTTTGGGTGGTTTTGCCGCCTTGGACGGCGTGGGGTGGGAGAAAAGTTGTTGATGGCCCTCCAAAATCGGGCCAGAGCTGCTCTGCGCATTTGACGAGGCATTCGAGCCGCTGCTGCATCCTAACCTTCACAGCATCTACGCCCTTTTACAGCAAACCCTAAACCCTAAACCCTAAACCCTGAACCCTAAACCCTAAACCCTAAACCCAAGGAGTCCGGCCTGGCGTCGATCGGTGCCTGCAGCGAGTGCCCGGCAGGCACCTGGAGCCCAAGAGAGGGCGCCTCGTCCTTGGAGACCTGCCGCGGCCTCAGGGTTTAGGGTTTAGGGTTTAGGGTTTAGGGTTTAGGGTTTAGGGTTTAGGGTTTAGGGTTTAGGGTTTAGGGTTTAGGGTTTAGGGTTTAGGGCTTAGGGCTTAGGGCTTAGGGCTTAGGGTTTAGGGTTTAGCTTTATTGTTTTCGAAGTGTAGGACGGGGGTTCCGTCTTTCAGAGGGTACCCTAAACCCTAAACCCTAAACCCTAAACCCTTAACCCTTAACCCTTAACCCTAAACCCTAAACCCGAAACCCTAAACCCTAAACCCCAATGAGAACCACTGTCTCCAGCCGAGTCTTCAGGCCAGCCATGTGCAGCTGGCATGTGGAGTCAGGTGACCCCAGGCTGCAGCATGTGGGGTTTCCTTGGAGGTTCATGAATTCTCTGGAGTAGGGTGATAAGTACCCTAAATACGGATAGAGCTGTAGTTGCCCGACTTATAACCCTAACGGTAAGTTCCCATGAACCTCCAAGTAGGGTTGAGGACTGAGAAGTTAGTCGCTGCAGGTGCCGTGATGGGGAAGGGCGGAGGGAACCCTAAACCCTAAACCCTAAACCCTAAACCCTAAACCCTAAACCCTAAACCCTAAACCCTAAACCCTAAACCCTAAACCCTAAACCCTAAACCCTAAACCCTAAGTGAGCTTTGATCCTCACGCAGTAACTCTAAAAGGGGTTTCGGGTCTCAGGATCGGTGCGGACCAGGACGTCTGCCAGCACTGCCCAGCTGGGCGCTTCAGTAGTGAGGCCACCATGCCTGTCCCTTGAAGTAGGAGCTTCCTTCGATATTCTGGGAAGTTGGGGGGGGGGGTTGGGGAACGAAGCGCGATTTAGAAGATGGACCCCGTGATTCAGAAACTAGACGCGACGGCAGGCTTCAGAATATTCGTCCATTCAGAGAAGCTCGTCGATTCAGGAAACTACCCGATTCAGGAGACTGGCTTCGTGCGATTCAAGAAACGGCGGTTCATGAAACCACGCGATTCATTGAACGGGTTGGCAGTTGAGCGCAAGCTCAGGTAGCTCTATGCCTTAAGAAGGCAAAGAGGGCCAACACAACGCAGCACTTAAGGCAATTTTCCCGGCTGTGTGCCTCCACACCGGTGTGCACCTGAACCATGAGCCCATTAAAGACCTAGAAGGGGCCTATGCCCCACGAGCTGTACAGACCCTGTAAAGCCCACAACTCCCGAAAACCCTCTGAGCCGTGTGGGGTGCACCCCCCTTAAATCCCTTGCCCACTTGCCTCGGCGTAGGTGGGTGCTTCTTCCCTAGACAGCTGCACCTTCTGCCCGCGCGGCACATGGAGCGCTGTGGAAGGCTGCTGCGCAAGCCTGAACCTGTAATCCTAGAGCCTAAACTCCCCTAACCCCCCCAAACCCCCCTAAACCCCCTTAAACCCCCCAAAAACTCCCTGAAACCACCCTAATTAAACCCACCCTAAACCCCCTAAACTCCCCTAAACTCCCCCCTAAGCCCCCCAAAACCCCAAAGCTGCTGTGCAGGTGCAACCAGCCTCACACAGTGCACGGGATGTCCAGCCGGCACTTTCAGCGACGGCCTCGGCATCACCAGCAAGGAGAGCTGCGCTGCCTGCCTGCCGGGCAGGCCCCGGAACCGCCCTTGTTGTCATTGTTTTTTCTTTGGGGGGGGGGTTAGGGTTTAGGGGTTAGGGTTTAGGGTTTAGGGTTTGGGGTTTAGGGTTTAGGGTTTAGGGTTTAGGGTTTGGGGTTTGGGGTTTGGGGTTCAGGGTTCCCACAAGATGCCCCCACCCCCTTTGTGAAAGGAGGGCCCTCCTGTTCTGCCAGGTGGAATGCGCTGACCGGGCAGAGCTCCCTGAGCAGCTGTGAAGAGCACGGGACCTGGGAGTGTGGGTTTAGGGTTTAGGGTTCAGGGTTTAGGGTTTAGGGTTTGGGGTTCAGGGTTTAGGGTTTAGGGTTTAGGAGTGTGGGTTTAGGGTTTAGGGTTTAGGGTTTGGGGTTTAGGGTTTAGGGTTTAGGGGAAGAATCTTCCCCCTCATATGAACAGACCCTTACTAGGAATTGTAATAGGGGGTACTACGATCAGGGGGGAACATCCCAGAGTGTGGGGTACTACGATCAGGGGGAACATCCCAGAGTGTGGGTTCCAAGGTGTTCTTAGGCTGAGGTGAGAGGGTTTGGACCTTCTCCGATAGAAATTACGTCTCGGCGCCCCAGGGTCACAGCCTGACTGTTCTTCCATCCGAGTCTTGACTCGGAAACTCCCTAAACCCTGAACCCTAAACCCTAAACCCTAAACGGGAGTAAGGTGCTCCCCTGGTACCTACAGCAACGTCTCCGGTGCGACGGATGCCTCGACCTGCCAAGCCTGCCCTGTGGGCACCTACCAGCCCATCAAGGCGGTTTAGGGTTTAGGGTTTAGGGTAGAGGGTTTAGGGTTTAGGGTTGCGGAGGGACTGCTGGGGGTTTAGGTTCTTCCCAGGGCTTGAGGGTGTAAGGTGCGGGAGTTTGTGGGTTAGGAGGGCTAATAAGGGTTCAAGGGTTCAGGTCTTCGGGGCTTTGGTTCAGTAGGTGTAGGGAGGGCTGGGACTGGTCTTCACGTTCATTCCAAGAGTCGGCAGTGGCGCTGTCTCACCCGGAACCATAGCCCCCTAAACCCTTCATAAAACCCAAAAGCCCCCGAAGCCCCCCCGAGGCCCAAAGCTAAGCCCCCAAACGCAAGTGCGAGCCCCGATCGGCCCCGAGTTAGGCCGCCGCCGATGCCAAGCTGTGCGTGCTCTGCGCCGTGGGCAACTTCTCCGCGCGCATGGGCGCATCGCAGTGCGACCGGTGTCCAGAAGGCCTGGAGGAATGAATCCCTAAACCCTCAACCCTAAACCCTACATGCTAAACCCTAAACCCCAAACCCCAAACCCTAAACCCTCAACCCTTTGATAACCCGCTTAGTCTGTGCCATCCTGGCGCCAGGCACCTACAGCGGCTGCCCGGCAGGAGCAGGGGCCAAGCATTCAGGGCTGTCGGGTACAGGGTCTAGGAGGTCTGGGGTTTAGGGTTTAGGGTTCAGGGTTGGGTTTAGGCTTTGGGGTTTAGGTTGAGGGTTGAGGGTTGAGGGTTGAGGGTTTCTTTCGACCGGGCCATTTGGGGGAAGGTCTGATGTATCACCGTAACATCCCGCGGCTCATGAGATGAGAAGCTCTGCCCCTTATGCCTCTTGTCTAGATCCTCCTTGTCTCCCCCAATAAGCCGAAAAGCAAACATCTCGCTCTGAAGCCCTGGGTCGAACTGCCCTGCAAACCGAAAGTATCGGGGGCAAAGCTGAGATGGCTTCGCCTTCACGGATTGCTATGCCTGTCCGAACGGCACCTGGACGCGTAGCACAGGCGGGAGATGTTTGTTGGGTTTTCATGTCCTGTGCTGCGCCATTGAAGACCCAGGGGTTTACTTTATCGCGTGTGCCATGGTACGGAGGTTTCAGTTTGGACAACTACCCTTTCCACCAGAATCCAGTTGGGGATGCAGCAGTTTGGGGCTCTTTGTAGGCCCATTGTAGGCTTTATGGCTTTATGGCAACACGCCTGCGCAGGTGCCTATCGAGCAGATATGTGTGACAGCAACATTTCTCCGCCAACCACGACCACAACCACAACTACCACCACAACCACAACAACAACCACAACCACAACCACAACAACAACAACCACCACAACAACAGTTGCCACCGAAACCTCAACCAGCACTACCTCGACCACCACCACACCGGAAGCGGTGAGCACCACCGAAGCAACCACGACAGCGGAGAGCACCACCAAGGCAGTGGTTACTAGCACCACTGAGATTGCCAACGTCACCATTTCCAGCACAACTGCCAACCACACCGGGCTCGCCCCGGCTACAAACTCGAGTTCGGCCCGCTTCTCAGATGCCGTGGTCAGGGTTTTTCCAGTCCCTTGCCCAGAAAACTACGGGGTGCTACCACTTGAGGCCGAAACGCCGGCAGGCGCAGGGAACGCCACGAAGTCCGGAGCCTACCTTTTTTTGACAGAGTTACAGGGATCATCAGCGTTATGGCAATTTCGGGAGTGCGTCTCTCTGGTGCAACTGTTTAGGATTGAGGGATGTTTAGGGTTTAGGGTTCAAGAAGCTCGGGAGTACGGGAGAGTCTGGAGCTCTGCGCTGCAGGTGCGTCCAAGTATTTCAGCAATGTGGCGGAGAAGGCTTGGTGGCTTAAGGTTGGGATGTTTCTCCTGAAACTAACAGTCCTTAATAGGGATTTTAACAGAGGTACTATAATCCCTATTAAGGACTGTTAGCATAAGGGGGAACATCCCAAGTTTAAGGGTAATACCCAAACTCCTGCCAAGCCACGCATCTGGCAGGACTCTCCGCACCCCTCTGCTGCGAAAGAGGTTCGTTCTGCGACGATGCGCAGCCAGACTACTGGCCGGGTGTCTTCTTGCGCACGTACAGTCTTCAAATGGCATGTTCACGACTGCAGCATCGTTGTGAGTGTGATTGTAGCGGTGAGGTCTATAGTGCCTGCTTACATATGGCGCGTGCTATCTGATATCTGTCTCTTCTCGGCGGCAAGTCAGCGGCCAAGAAATATGGTGGCTGTTCATGCAGGTTGTGACTGTTGTCGGATTTCATTCTTGGTACTTGTCGGCTGGTTTGTGTGCTTTTTGGCTGTGTGGATCGGTAATCGTTGTAGAATTGAAAGCTTCTAAGAAATGGAGCAGAGTGACCAACCTCGGCTTATCCGAGCACGCAAAAGTTGTTTTCTCTGCCGTGCCGCTTGTAGCTTGATTTGGGGGTTTCCGAAATTAGGGGTACCCTTTTTCAAGGTCCCCTTTAAGGGATTCTAGTCTATCTGGGGTAGAAAAGGAGAAAATACACATGTGGCTGAGAAAGAAACGCCCGCGGCAGTGTGGCTGCCTTCATTTGCTCTCTTGACAGGCAGTGTCTGCCTTCGAAAACCGACATCGACTGCCACCTGCCTGCAGCGCAGTAGCCCTAAACCCTAAACCCTAAACCCTAAATCCTAAAGCCTAAACCCGAAACCGTAAACCCTAAACCCTAAACCCCAAACCCCAAACCCTAAACCCTAAACCCCTAAACCCCAAAACCACAGCCGCTCGCAGCCCAGGTGCCGGTTATGGTGAACAATGCGGCGGCAAAGGCTACCACGGCCCCACGTCGTGCTGCCTTGCCAGTCAGAGCTGCGCTTTGCCTTACAGTAGGGCTTGGGTTTTAGGGTTTAGGGCTTAGGGCTTAGGGCTCAACTCGCTGTCGTGCCCTAGGAACTTCACCAAGGCCCCACCCATAAATGCACCCCGCGGCCTTGCTGCAAGGCACGAAGAAGACGGAACACTACTCCATCTGCACCGGCTTGTAGAGTGTCAGACCGCCAAGCTCGCAAAGCGAGAGTTACGATTTTTCTGGACAGCAAAAGACACTGCGTGACGCTGTTTTTCGTAGACCCTAAACCCTAAACCCTAAGCCCGAAACCCTAGACCCAAAACCCTAAACCCTAAACCCTAAACCCTAAACCCTAAACCCCAAACCCTAAACCCTAAACCCTCAACCCTACCCCAGAATGCCCTACAGCATCTCAGCCAGAGCTACAGTAACACCCCGGGCACCTTCGACCCTCAACCGCAACCCAATACCTTTGAAATTCTGAAGCCCCACGACCCCAACACCCTTAACCCCTCTATCAGTATGTATTGGGATGCTCCCCCTGTATACTAACAGTCCTTAAGAAGGATTTTAATAGGGGGGGGTTTCTAGAATCCCCATTAAGGATTTCGAGTATAAGGGGGAACATCCCAAAGTATGCTTGTTTTAAATCCTACTTGGCATGCGTAAAAGGCTTGAGGAAGAATATAGGGTTTAGGGTTTAGGATTTAAGGAAATGTTTTGCCTGATGTGGCGCCCAATGGGCGGCGGGTGGGTATGTCTCCGTCGCTTGACAGTGAGCCCTAAACCCCAAACCCTAAACCCGAAACCTTAAACCGAAACCCTAAACCCTAAACCCTAAACCCTAAACCCAAAACCCTTATAAACCCTAAATCCTAAACCCTAATCCCTACATAAACCCTGGCTTCAGGCAGGCGAGCGGGCCTTCCTGGAGCGCTTCCAGCAGCTCGGAGGTTTAGGGTTTAGGGTTTAGGGTTTAGGGTTTAGGGTTTAGGGGTTTAGGGTTGAGGAGTTAGGGTTTCAGGGTTTCAGCGGTTTCAGGGTATCAGGGTTTAGGGCTTTGGGACGCTTGTGATCCCCCCCCCCCCCCCCGCATGGTCTATTATGAGTCGATTATTGACATGAACCTGAGAACACGGACTTGAGAGGCTGATAGGTATACTTGCCCATGCATTGGGGGCCTAGTTCTTTGGGTGGGATGGAAAGGTTGGGCCCTAGACCCCTAAGCCGTGGAATTTAGCCAAGCCTCAGTCGAAACCCAGCCACTCTAAACTCTAAACTCTAAACTCTAAACTCTAAACTCTAAACTCTAAACTCTAAACTCTAAACTCTAAACTCTAAACTCTAAACTCTAAACTCTAAAGTCTAAACTCTAAGCTCCAAACTCTAAACTCTAAACTCTAAACCTTAAGCCCTAAACTTCATCCGAAAACCCGAACGAGGTAATTGCGAGGGCTACTGAACCATTGGATGGGCTCCACTAAGGATTGGAACTCACCCTCAAACCCGGTTTAGGTTTAGGGTTTAGGGTTTAGGGTTTAGGGTTTCGGGTTTAGGGTTTAGGGTTTAGGGTTTAGGGGAACTCCCAAACCCTAAGCCCCCCCACCCTGTAGGCCTCTTGACGCCTTGCACTTTCGAGGCTGAGTCCGCCAGAAGGTTTCGAGCAGGCGCGGTGGCTTCGCTTACCCTAAACCCTAAACCCGAAACCCTAAACCCGAAACCCTAAACCCTAAACCCGAAACCCTACACCCTAAACCCCAAACGCCTACACGCCTGAACGCCTAAACCCCTAAGCTCGAGCCCGTGATCTCAAGCGGGAGGTGCGGGTGATGTGTATGACGCTGATGCATCGCATATGTCGGGTTTTTCGAAAATAGGGGTACCCCGTTGGGGGTCCCTTTAAGGGGCTATTCTATTTGGGATATGAAAATGGGGTACCACTATTTTGGGAAATGCCCATTAGGCCAGCATAGTAGGGTTATCAGTACCTTAGGTTTGGTTGTCCCATTCATGTTCGAGGTACAAGCTGCTTACGAAGAGAGGGTCATTTGGCTACATGTCATGAGAAGCTTTGGCCAACATGCCGTCCCGATGTTGGCATGCCCGTCGGGTCTTGTCCGATTGGTGCTGGAGGCCGTTGGGGAACCCTAATTCCTAAACCCTAAACCCTAAACCCTACACCCTAAACCCTAAACCCTAAACCCTAAAAGCTTGCAGCTCTTGCACCAAATCCGGTAACCTAACCCCCTGTGGGAAATATCCCGCCTAAAGCCTAAAGCCTAAACCTCTAACCTCTAACCCTTAACCCCTAAACCCTAAACCCTAAACCCTAAACCCCAAACCCTAAACCCTAAACCCTAAACCCTAAACCCTAAACCCTAAACCCTAAACCCTAAACCCCAAACCCTAAAGCCAGGCTTTGCTCCAACGGTGCGGGCTGCCTGAACCTCCAGGATGCCTTGAAGTTTGAGTGCGCTTGTCTCGACCCCTGGGTCTCCAGCAGGACCGGTCTATATACATACATATATACATATATATGTATATACATACATAGGGGGAGTTTAGGGTTTAGGGTGTAGGGTTTAGGGTTTAGGGTTTAGGGTTTACGATGTTAGGCGTACCTTCTTGTGGTGTTCTTATACCATCTGAGGGTCTATATTAGGGTGTTTTCGTAAACACCCACATATGTACTTTTCACTACATAGTTCCTTTACATACTATACAATATACCTTTACTTACAATGCATCATACAGCACCTTTACATCTTACATTTATGTGATGAGAGTCTTGGCTGCAATGCTTCGTTCTGACGCACAAGGTGCCTTCTCCTTAGCCAGGACTGTGGTCGCCTTCATACTCCTGGACATCGTGTGCTGCGTGGTATTCCTGGTTCTTTTCTTGCGCCACAAGGCTCTTGGCAAGCTTTGGCTGCCGGACTTTGGGTGGAAGGTCTTGGCTGCCATCCTGATCTTTCGGCTTCTCTGCGACCTGCTGGGAACTTATTCGGTTCTTCGTCGCAATGTGAGCCAAGTTCGCTGCTACTACTTCCTGGTGGTCGTGCACTTCCTGCTGACTTTCGTCTTGGCCCGGCCCCTGCTCCTCGCCGACTGCGCCTGCTTCGAGTCTGCCATGGGCCTGGTGCACCTGGACTCCCGCAACTCGCTGGAAGAAAGCCGGCAGTGCGACGTCTGGCACTCCTTCTTCGAAGTGGGGGATGTCACGACGCGGCGGCTGGCCGAGAAGTGGCCCCGATGCAAGCAGCTCATCCCCGGGAAGGACGAGGGGGAGCGAAGGGAGGGCTTGGGAGTACCGGTTCCTATATCCCCCTTTTGGGAATTATTTTTCTTATGTTTTTGTTTATATAAAACCCAAGAGGAAATAAAAAAAAATGTTTTTATTAAGGTTCTAAGGGGCGCAGAGGTTCCGGATCTCTTCAAGGTGGTGGACTTCGGTATCAAGCTCGAGGGCAGGTCCTCAGATTGTGTTGACCTTGACCTGAGCATTCACTTGGGCTCGGCGCTGGAGCATATGGGCTGCAGCTTCTACGATATGTTCGACTGGATGTCCACGCCCTTTCGAGCCCTTCATAAGGAGCTCCAACAATGCTTTGCCCACAGGAGCTGCGGGGGGGTCGGAATCCCGGTGGGCTTGTTTGGGATAACTTTCTATTTTTCCCTTATTTGGGTTGAAGAGGACCACATTGAGGAATAATTTTTCCTAGGGTTTTATGGGCCATCCTAGGAATCGTCTTAGATCCAGCGCTCAGCGGCCTCGACGACTCCTGCGGCAACATTACCGTCTGCCGACACACCTACCCGGTGCTACCCAGCTTGGCGACCGTTGCGACAAACCCAGTCTGCACGGTTTCTCCAGTCAAACGTTGTCCTATACATTTGCAACTGCACCGCGGCCCAACTTCACATTGCACAAAACATTGCGATACAGGCATCGCGCTTCGCGCGAGTCATTGCAGAAGACCCTCTAAAGTCTCTCAAAAAGAATCGTTGCGTGTGTGCTCGTGTCCCGAGGTACTTGCTCAAAGATGTCGAGAAGTTTGAATGCTTCCGATTCGGCAAGGTGAGTGGCCCGGCTACCCAGCTCTGCAAGTTTGCGGTGCAGGGTGCCCTGTGTCTGCTCCTCTTCCTGGACATCGTGACAATCCCCGCGTTCACCGCTTCTCGTCGTACCCGAAACCCTAAACCCTAAACCCTAATCCCTAACCCTAAACCCTAAACCCAGTCTTGCTCTAAGCACAAGCAGCCTCAGCCCAGAACGTGAACCCTAGTCCTCGTCATAGCCTGGTCCTAGTCGTTGCCTAGTCCATCATCAGGAAGCCTCGCAATCCCTCCGCACTTCCTGGCCGCCACCTTTATCGCCAACATGCCTTGCCTTTTCTAAGCCCCGGAACCCCAAGCCCCTAAGCCACAAGCCTTGTTCGAAGCGAATGGCCCCAAGCCATAAGATCTAAAACCAAACTCAGCCCTAAACCCTAAACCCCCAACACCCACTAAACCCTAAACCCTAAACCCTAAACCCTAAAGCCTAAACCCTGAACCCTAAACCCTAAACCCTAAACCCTAAACCCTAAGGTGATTCGCAAGTATCTGCGCAACAACTGCGGAGACTTCATCGAGGATGACGTCCAGTTCGACGTGGACGAGGCCGACATTGGCCGGCCGTCCTTCGCCTCCTCGGAGGTTCGGTGGGCTGAGGGGCTAGAAGCCCTAAACCCTAAACCCTAAACCCGAAACCCTCAAGCCCGAAAGCCCGTGGAAGGCCTCGTTCGTGGCCGGTGCTCACGCGCCCTCGGATGGGGCCTCCTACTCTGCCTCCTGGCGCCGGCATGTTCCGCCCGGACCGGGGAGGGCTTAGGGTTTAGGGTTTAGGGTTTAGGGTATAGGTTTAGGGTTTCGGGCTTAGGGCTTAGGGCTTAGGGTTTAGGGCCCCCGAAAAGCCCAAAATTCCTGCACCGTTGAGAGTGCGCATCGGTTCGGACACCCCGGCGGGTATGTCGTGCACCATACGCACTGTACTTTCGGCAACCCTCGACCCCTTGCCTGCCCGGGGTCCATGTTCTTGGTCAAGGGCTTGGTTCCAGCGTTCTAAACTGAACTTTGATTGCAGCTGGCTCAAGGGGGGCACGGAGACCCCCAACCTTCAGTTCCAAAAGCATGCTTTCAGATTTGGATAGGGTAAACCTGCCAAACTTTGTGCCCTGATACCCTTGGCACCCTGAAATAACCCTATAATCGCCCTAAAAATGGCCCTCTAATCAGCCAACAAGAACCCAATTTTTCACTCTGCAGTAGCCCGATAATTGCCCTCCATTTACCCTATAACAACCCAACAGCCCCATAATGACCCTACAGTATCCCTACAAGAACCCTGCAATACCCCCCCCCCCATAATAACCCTACAAGAACCTATCATAACCCTATGATTCTCCTATAATGGCCCTACAATAACCCCAATTAAGCCTACAATAACCTATCAAAACTCATAATTCTCCTTAAGAAGCTCTACAATATCCCCCAAATAACCGTGTGTGTGTGTGGGTCCAGGAGCCACGGAAGGCGTAGAGCTCACGGGTGTCGAAGCTCGCCCCAGATGTTGAGCCGCATTTTCTAAGACCTAGCATCAGGTTTAGGGTTTTAGGTTTTTTAGGGCATTAGGGTTTTAGGGTTTTGTAGGGCTTTTAGGGTTTTAGGGTTTTAGGGCTTTAGGGTTTTAGGGTTTTAGGGTTTTGGGATTTAGGAGGCCCAAACCTTTTCGCAGCAAGGCGAAATGAGGAGCCAGGCAAGAACACCGGATTCCCATGGCGCACGCGCCGTAGCTTTCGCGGCGTTTCAGGCGTAGGATTTCGAGCGCATGCAAAGGCTGAAGTGCAGCCTTGAGCTCATATGATTGCTCCACCTGGGTTCCAAAAAGCCGCCCCTTTGGGGGGTTTAGGGTTTGGGGTTTAGGGCTTTAGGGCTTTAGGTCTTTAGGGCTTTAGGGCTTAGGGCTTTAGGGCTTTAGGGCTTTCGGGCTTTGGGGTTTGGGGCTTGGTGCCGAGGGGGCCATGCAGCCCTCGACCTTACCTTTTTTCAGGGGCCCAAAGCCTTGAATCCTATGGGTCTCTGGGCTCTTGCAGAACACTCGCTGTCATCTGGCTGGTTAGGGCAGATATAGGGGCCCTAATTCTGCCATTCCCTGCCAAGAACCAGAGGGTCACTAGAATACCCAGGCCGCACCATTGTACCAAGAATAATCGGATAACCAGTCATGATAGCCTTAAACATGTAAATACCAGCAGTGCTAAGCCCGAACAGCAACCCTGGAGGCTCATGGGAACTTACTTGTTAGACGTCGGGCAACTACAGCTGTATCCGTAGTTAGGGTACTTAGAACCCTACTCATAAGTACCCATGAACCTCCAGGGACAAGACGTCTAAGCCCTTTGAACCTGGCACAGGTGAGCAATGACTCGGCGGCTCCCGAAAGAGGCAGCCGCGAGGTGGGGGAGTTGGGTTCCAGGGCGTTTTACCCGCAAGCCTCAGCCCTAGCTCTAAGCCCTTATCCCTAAACCCTAAGACCGAAAGTTGGGTTCCAGGTGGTTTTTCCCGCAACCCGAGACCCAACCCTCAGCCCTGATCCCTAAACCCCAAGCCTGAAACCCTAAATCCTAAACCCTAAACCCTCCTGTTTTGGCCAGCTTAAGTATAAGGACCCGCATGAAAACTGGCAACGCAGAGGATGGAAATCCATGGAGATAGCTGAGACTTTGCTATTTCCCACGAATGTGCACGGGCCGAAATCGTTACCACTTGAAGCACTGGGCGTTTCCGCATCCACGGCAATAAGGTTTTTGACGGGTTCTGCACGAACATACTATTGCAGATGCAAAGGATGCCAACAAACCTCACCGTCTACGCACTCCATGCAGCGACCCCATATGGGGTTTCCGAAATTGTGGGTACCTTATTGGGGTCCTTATCATAAGGGAATCCTGCTTTTTGGGGGTCTAGATTAGGGGTCCCCTATCTTCGTAAACTCCCTGCCAGTATCGGATCTGCGCACCGCATCTCTGGCTCCATGTCGCTGCAACAGTTGCTATCGTTGCCCCCCCCACGGTGTTTTTGGTTTCAAGGTTAGCAAACCTTGTTGCTTCTTCGAGCCCTAAACTGCAGGGAGGAAGCGTGATGGAGTGCATCAATTCCAGAGTCTAGAAGCCTCTAGCAAAGCAGAGCCTTTCTTCAAGAAAGCCCCTGCCCAGGAGACAGTCTAGGCATATTCCTCTGCTTCTTCTTAATTCCAACAGCCTGAATCGTTGTCTGCCAGCACTCTCGGAACCACGAGCTCAGCATGCCACGAGCCGGGAAGCCCCGGTTCCCGATCGAGGCGGTCCATCTTGTGGGCTGCGGTCTTGGAGAGCTGCTCTTAACCGCGGCGGAGCTTCGCAGCCTCCAGGAGTACCTCGGCGCCCTGGGCCTCACCGAGGTGGAGCTGGAGCCCTGCGCGGAGGAATCTGAAGGGCAGCCAATTCTGGCGGCAAGGATGCCCGAGCACGCCTTGATCTCTGCGGACGCAGGGACCAAGCGGGCGAGCCAGGGGAGCGAGGTGATGAATGTGTCCGAGCTGCCCCGGCCCAAGAGGGTCAGAGCCGCAAGGGACGCCAGCCCTGCCTCCGATGCGTCCTTGACACCGACGAGCCGGAGCTCCACGCCAGAGAGGGAACCCAAGAACGACATCGCTCCGCGTGCGGTGAGTATGTCGGAGAAAGAGGAGGGTGTTTACGAAAATAGGGGAATTTTCAAATAGTAGGATCCCCTCATAAAAAGGACCCCAATAAGGTATCCCCAATATCGTAAGCCCCCCGGAGGAGGCTAAGCTGGAGTTACAGCGGATGGTAGACCGGCTTGATGAGGCTCAGCTGGCCAAGTTGATCGAGATCTCCAATCCAGAAAAGGATCCCAAGACGGGTGAGTACATCCTCGGCTACAACAAGCTGGCCCCCGAGAAGAGGGACGTCTTCCGCAAGCAGGTGGAGGAACTCCTGAAAGATCAGGAGCTGGATGCCGCGAATCCGAAGTCGGGAGAGGTACCCTGCGCAAAGCGGCCCATCCCTGCAGAAGATGAGCATGAGCGAGCTGTACAGGAGATGCTCCGGGAATTCGAGTCCTGGATCTGATATTGCAGCATGCGAGCCGCCAGCCTTTGTCCACGACAAGGAACTGGCTGCTATGATGCCTGCTAGGAGCATAGAGTTCTTGAGATCGTCGGGTGATCTCTCATCGTCAGGGGAGCGCGGGCTTCAGAGTTTGTCTGAAAAAGCGGCATCGCTTGGGGCTGATCTTGCGTGTGTTCCAGCCAGTTTGCTGACTTCCTGACAGGATGTCCTCGCAGCCGTGCGCAAGGAGAGGGAGAGGGGCACTGCTTGTCGCAAGTCTCCTACTCACGAAGTCCCTGCTCCGGGGCGGGCTCTCATGTGCGGAAAGCTATTGAGTCTGAGGGCTCTGAACTCACGATTTGGGATGTTCCACCTTAGACTAATGGTCCTTAAGAGGGATTGTAATAGAGGGGGTCCTAGAATCCCTTTTAAGGACTGTTAGTGTAAGGGGGAACCTCCGATGCCTAAACACGAAACCCGCCGCCGGAAGCCCCAAGCTCAAAGACCAGTTCCAGGACGGATGGGCCCTCCAGCGTGCTCCAGCTCATCTGCAGGCCTCGGAGTTTTTGAGTTTTTTGGGGTTTAGGGTTTAGGACTTAGGGTTTAGGGCGCGCAACGCTGAAGGATCCAGTGGAGACCGGTGTTGGAGGGGGTTGGGGTTCAGCTTGTATCTCTAAACCCTAAACCCTAAACTCTCAACCCCACCCCCAAACCCTAAACCCAAAAACTAAACCCTAAACCCTAAACTCTAAAAACCCTAAACCCTAAACCCGACCTGGAGTTGACAATTCGCGCTCTGGCAGGCCGATCGCGAAGTGGTGCTGGCTGCAGTCGAGCAGGACAGGAAGACTGAACTTCGAGCTGCTCTGTGGTTCCTCTACGAAGGAAAGAGAGAGAGAGAGAGAGAGAGACACAGAGAGACAGAGAGAAAGAGAGAAAGAGAGAAAGAGAGAAAGAGAGAAAGAGAGAAAGAGAGAAAGAGAGAAAGAGAGAAAGAGAGAAAGAGAGAAAGAGAGAAAGAGAGAAAGAGAGAAAGAGAGAAAGAGAGAAAGAGAGAAAGAGAGAAAGAGAGAAAGAGAGAAAGAGAGAAAGAGAGAAAGAGAGAAAGAGAGAAAGAGAGAAAGAGAGAAAGAGAGAAAGAGAGAAAGAGAGAAAGAGAGAAAGAGAGAAAGAGAGAAAGAGAGAAAGAGAGAAAGAGAGAAAGAGAAGAAAGAGTCTTTGAGCTCAGGTCCTTTTTGGTGGAGGGGGGGGCTGTTTTTCAACGAGCGCTCCCCTTGCAAAACAGTCCCCGGAGAGGATGGCTGGGCGCTGCAGTTCGCCGCCCGGGAGCTCCATGGCGATCGCGACCTTGTTCTGCGGGCCGTGAGGCGAAAGGGACACGAAAGGGGCTGAGAGTCAAAAATGGATTCAGGGGCTGGCTTGGGAATGTCAGGGGGGGGGGAGCAGGGCGAAGTTCAGTTGCCAGTGCACCCGAGCAACCCCTCAACATAAACTCTCTCTAAAAGTTCTCAGCTCCGCGTGGCCTCAGCGTCAAGCCAAGCCCGGTGCTCCTCGCCACAAAGCCCGAACCCTAAACTTGTAGACTCTACAAACCCTACGTTCTCGCCGATTCCGAAACGAAGTGGGTGCTCTTGCAGTGCTTCCTCCTAGTACGGATCAGGGGATTGGTCCCTACACCCTGGCCCCATAGGGCACATGGTGCAGAGAACTGCCCTCCTGAAGGAAGGATGGCTGGGTGTTGTCGCTGGCCTCCACCCCGTTGCGCGCGGACAAGGAGGCGCCCCCCAACCCTCCCCCCCGCCCCCCAGGGTGAGGCCTTCGGGTTTGGGGTTTAGGGTGGGTTTAGGGTTGAGGGTTTAGGGTTTAGGGTTTGGGGTTTAGGGTTTAAGGTTTAGGTAGGTTCCCGAAGCCTCAGACCCTACACGCTGAATCCCCCGAGTCGGGCCTTGGGCCTCCATAGCCAGACTTTAAGGGTTCAAAGTTCAAAGGATATGACCCAGGAATTGGAGCCAGATTCGTTGAGCAGGGTGCTGACACTTGCTCCTGCAACCCACAGATAACCCCTCTCGCAAACCTCAAACTCCGAACTTCCCCAAATCCACCTAAACCTCTCCCTTGAACCCTAAGCCCTAAATGTCAACCCGAAGCCGAAACCCTAAACCCTAAGAACCCAAAAGCCCTAAAAACGCCCAAACCCTAAGCTCCCTGAAGCCCCGCCAGCCCCTTCGCCCCTTGGGAGGTCGTGCTGGCGGCTGTGGGTCAAGATTGGCGAGTCCTCCGCATCGCGGGGGGCCCCAGTGTGGGGGTTTGGGGAGCTTTCGGGTCTAAGGCTTTTTCAGGGTTTTGCGGACTTGAGAGTTCAGAGTTGAGAGGGTTTGCGGGTTTGAGTTCCTTGGTTTGAGCTTCAGATTTAAGTCTTTGGGTTTTTGGGAGTTGAAGTTCTGCCAGCAAGCATGGGGCCTTGACAGCACCCATGGCTAGGCTGTGCCTGCTCTGCACTTGGGTGATACTGCTTGCCCAGGGGCGGCTGTTCGAGTCGCGCCCATGAGTCTCTGTGAGTGGTTCGTTGAACAGCCCATGGAAAGGTTTTCAAAGTCTTGCATCCTCTCACCGACAGACCATAATACTAAGACTATGTCGGGGTCTTTGCAAGGAATGAAACTATGCGTGAAAGTCCTATCTAAATAGTATTGTGATGATGCGGATTTGTGTCAGTAATTAATGAGTGAACGATGTGGCGGTTTCCGAAATTGGGGATACCTCATTGGGGTCCCTAGAAAAAAGGGAATCCGACTGTTTGGGGCTTATTTTAGGGGTCCCCCATTTTCGAAACCCCCATGCGAGCCTCTTTAGTACTACTTTATGGGTATCAAACCCTAAACCCTAAACCCTAAACCCTAAACCCTAAACCCGAAACCCGAAACCCGAAACCTTAAGCCCTAAACCCTAAACCCGAAACCCTAAACCCTAAACCCTAACCCTAAACCCTAAAAGGTTCCCGCAGACCTCCGGGCGGATCGAGATGTCGTGCTGAAAGCTGTCCTGCAGGAAGAGGGCATGCCTGTGCCCTGTACGAGTTTGCAAAAGCACTCCCTAAGCCCTAAGCCCTAAGCCCTAAACCCTAAACCCTAAACCCTAAACCCTAAACCCTAAACCCGAAACCCGAAACCCTCAACCCCAAACCCTAAACCCTAAGAAGCGGAGGGCGTCCCTATGGCAACGCGGCTGAACGCCATTTGGCCCGAGCTCTCTCTTCCTGAAAGAAGTTCCGCTCTAGAGCTCGGCTCCCCGCGCCATGACGCTGCGAGGCGGCCATTTGCACAGCACCCTTAAATAAACCATCAGAATATGATCATAGAACGATATATGTATATATGTAACACTCTAGTACAATAAGTATAATACAATGGAACATAAGATAGTATCATAAGAACATGATCTATAGTGGTTGGTGGTCTCTGGAAGTAGGGTTTCTAGGGGGCTCTTATTAGGGTAACTAGGGGCTAGATTAAGGTATAAGGGTAGCAAAGAAAGAGGCCACCGGCTTTTTTACAATGTGAGCATAGAACGATGCATGTAGCACTCTAATATATGATAAACGCAAGATCCTGTTGTATATGTAACATAATATAACATCGCACAAGATAATTTACATATCATGAATTATAGTGTAGGCTTCATGTTACGAATGGCATGAGATGTGGATGCTGAAGGATTGGTGGAGTACCTCGTGGCCCCCCAGCTGCAATGCCTCTCCATTGGCCACGATGACAAGAAGAGTGAGTTGCAGGTGCAGTTTAGGGTTTAGGGTTTAGGGTTTAGGGTCTAGGGTCTAGGGTTTAGGGTTTCGGGTTTAGGGTCTAGGGCTTAGGGCTTAGGGTTTCCGTTTCAGAAACATCGTGGAAAGGGGTACCTTAAGATGCTCTGAAGGCGGCTGCGATCCATCGTAGCATCGGCGGCATGTGCTTATGGTCAATCTTACTGTTCCCACAGCTTCTGCTTTTTATGACCCGCAAACCCCTCAACCCTAAACCGGAACCCTAAACCCTAAACCCTAAACCCCAAACCCTAAACCCTAAACCCCAAACCCCAAGCCCTAAACCCTAAACCCTAAACTTTTCGCCTCCCGCAGGTCGACGCCGCTTCCCTGACAATCCCGGCAGTGAGCCAGCAATCAGAGCCCAGGCCGTGCTTCAGGGTTTGGAGGGGCTGTGCGGGAGGGTGAGAGCCCAAAAAACCAAAGCCTTGAGCCCTAAAGCCCGTACACCCTAAACCTTGAAGCCTAAACCCTAAATCCCTACAGCCCTAGCACCCTAAACCTTGAGCCCGACAGAACCCTACATCACTAGCTTCGCCCTTTCCTCTTCCTTAGAGGCCAACCTCGCGCGCTTTGGCAGTTGAGAGTGAGCTGCTGAGACACGTCGGACTGCATCCGTTTCACGAGCCCCGGCTGCATCGGGGACAGGTTGCAGTCTCAGCTCCTTGCAAACGCTAGGATGGACCTGTGATCTCTGGCTTAGGCTTCGAAAACTTCCCGAAGCCTTCTGAAGCCCCATCCTCCAGCCCTTAATCTGAAAAGCCGTCCTGAACCTGAAGGCCTGACACCGTTTAGGGCTTCAACAACTAAGGTAAGCCAACCCTAAACCCTAAACCCTAAGCCCTAAACCCTAAACCCTAAACCCGAAACCCTAAACCCCAAACCCTAAACACGCTGCAGCCGCCGCAATCGTGAAGAGGGACGCGGTCGTAAAGTCTCGGATGGTGTGGTATATCGTACAGTACGGTACAGTACAGTGCGCATGCCGACGCTTGTAGGGTTTCGGGTTTCCTGGGCTTGGGGGCCTTGTTTGCGACTGTCTTCAAGCAAGGCCGAACTTTTGAACAAGCCCTAGAACCCTGAACCCTAAAATATGAACCCTTAACCCTAAACCCTTAACCCTAAACCCTTAACCCTAAACCCTAAACTCTGAACCCCAGAACCCAAGATGTGTGAGTTCTGGCTCCTTCCGTTCAAAACCTACTAAAGTCGATGCGGGCCTCGAATCCTTGCCGGCTTCATCGTCGGAATGAAAGCCTTCGGGCTCGTAGTTCGTCACATCCTCTACAAGCCCCGAAGCCTAACCGCAAACGCTAAACCTTAACCCCTAAACCCTAAACCCTAAATTGCAAAAGCCCGAAAGTCTCAAGGCCCCGAAGCCGCCCAGGAGTCCACGCCTGAGGTGGCTGCCCAGCTGCTGCTTCAATCTGCCCTGCAGTACCTCGGCTTTGGGTGTTTTTTGTTGGGGCTTCGGGGATTTGTATTTTGGGTTGGGGGGGATCTGGGGAGTTTTGGCTGGGGGTTTGGTGTTTAGGCAGTTTAGGGGTGTGTCACTCATCTCATTACGGCCTCACTCTCAGCTCTGCAAGACCTTGAGAACCCAACGGTTCCCAACCCCACGACCCCCTCAACCCAAACAAATCGCAGGCCGTGGAGACACATGGGTTTCCGATGTCGATCCGAAACCTTCTTGGAGGTTTCAGGGGTCCAGCAGCAACCCCAAAGCTTAAAATCCCAAAAGCCCTAAACGCTAGCCTTTAAACCTGCAAAAATTTCCTGAGGTTCCGCCTCACGTTGCTGGAGATCGAGCCACTTATCCTCCCGCCCTGGATTATGGATGCGGCCTTCCCTTCCCGGGACACGGGGCTCTCGGTTTGAGGGTTTGAAGAAGCACACAGAACACCGTAGTAAACTCGAAACATCAGAAGTCCCCGCAGCCCTCAACTCAACCCCGAAAACCCAAAGCCCAAAACCCAAAGTCCCGAACCCTAAACCCTAAACCCCTTTCACCCTAAACCCTAAACCAGCCAACCATGGCCTCCCCCCCCCAACGGCGCATGGTGTAGGAGCTCTTCTTCGCCTCCTTCAACCTCGAATCCTGCTTCCAGCAGTGGCCGCCGGTGGCTTTTCGGGGATTTGGCGGGATTTGGCAAGGGGTAGGTTTAGGGTTTAGGGTTTAGGGTTTAGGGTTTAGGGTTTAGGGTTTAGGGTTTAGGGTTTAGGGTTTAGGGTTTGGGTTTTAGGGTTTTAGGGTTTTAGGAGATTGCTGCGACAAAGCTGGCACGGCTGCGAGAGAGTTGCTTTTTTGTTTTGCACAGTCGCCTTCAGCGCCCTTTCAACCAAGAATGACGAAGACTTCGACAAGACCATCGGCAATGATGACGGAGACTTCTTCTTTGGCGACTTGGCAGATTGAGTAGCCCATGGAATTGTGAGCGGCTGTCGCTCCGATCCCCCTTGCGCCCAGGTGAGTTTGGGAAGACCTCTTGCTGCCACAGCGATTGGCCCCTGTTCCAGCAGCTCGGAGCAAGAGGTGATGAGAACGTAGCCATGTGTCCAGACTGGGGTCGCCTATTGGTAGCGGTTGAGCGTTCATTGGGTAGTTCTCTCCCTTTTTGGGTACCCTCTATACTTCGGCACCTAGATAATAAGGATCCAAAAAAAGGACCCTCATTTAGGGAAAGCCCCCCCCCTCATCCTGAACAGGAAACGGTGCGGGTGCTGGGCCCTGCTCTCCCTAGAACCCCAAAACCCTAAAACCCCAAAGTCCTAAAGCCCCCAAGACCCCAAAACCACCCCTGGAACCCCGAAATCCTACAACCCTAAACCCTAAACCCTAAACCCTAAACCCTAAACCCTAAACCCTAAACCCTAAACCCTAAACCCTAAACCCTAAACCCAGTGAAGGTCAGTGGACTCCCTGCCTTGCTTCCGAGGCATCCGGACATGGGCCGCAGCCACTCCTGCCGATGGGCGCAGCTCCTCAACGGAGTGGCTGCCGGTCTGAAGATGCTTTAGTTGGGGTTTAGGGTTTAGGGTTTAGGGTTTAGGGTTTAGGGTCTAGGGTTTAGGGTTTAGGGTTTAGGGTTTAGGGCTTTTAGCTTGGGTGTGGAGGGAAGCTTGGGGGAGTGGAACTTGGCCTCGTCTTCATACAATAGCCTAAGCTCTTCTAGGCACTGGCCCCGACAGTCTCTGAGGTTGTCGCCCGCTTGATGAGTGTCTTGGCGGCGTTTTGCGGGGACTCTGAGATCTTCGTGGCATCCCCTGCAGCCCAGAATCGGGCCCCTTCATTCTATATCACGTTCCAAAGCCCTTCAACCCCAAATCCTCCCAACTCACAGGCCTCAGTCGCTTGCAGTGGTTCTCAAGTCCTCCGAACCCGAATTTGGCAGACTGTCAATTCTCAAAATCTCCGAACCAACGTCAAGGCACCGACCTGTCGGGGCTCTGCCTGGACCGCCGCATGGTGCCCGAGCGCCTGCGGATCACGCAGGCCTCAAGTCAGGGTTTTCAAGAGCAGGAGCTAGGCCCTGAGGGGACATGTTCTGTTTTCCCTTATATTCCCTTGTGTTTTCCCTTGTTGAGAATTCTAAGGTAGGAATATCTTTCGGAGGGTTTTAAGGGCCATCCTAGGCGGCAGTTCTTGATAAGCCTGTGCGTTTCGTGGCCCGAAGCCCTGAAGGCCACCCTGAATTTACCTGAGGGGTCTGGGGCTTCAGATGTTTAGCTCAGGGGCTGAGATGCCCAACTCCATTTTTTAGCACCTCCACACGAAAGTCACTAAACCCTGACTCTGAAACAGTAGCTCCCAAGCCTAAACCCTAAACCCTAAACCCTAAACCCTAAACCCTAAACCCTAAACCCTAAACCCTAAACCCTAAACCCTAAACCCTAAACCCTAAACCCTAAACCCTAAACCCTAAACCCTAAACCCTCAAACCTAAACCCTAAACCCTAAACCCTAAACCCTAAACCCTAAACCCTAAACCCTAAACCCTAAACCCTAAACCCTAAACCCTAAACCCTAAACCCTAAACCCTAAACCCTAAACCCTAAACCCTAAACCCTAAACCCTAAACCCTACACCCTAAACCCTAACCAAGATCTGAGCGCCGCGGCCAGGCGCTCTTGTCCGCCCTGCGGCTGGTGCCCTGGTCCCCGAAGCGGCTGGGACGCCTTGAGGCTGTAGAAGCCCTCAGTGTGGTGTCACAAGAACTGAAACAAGGTTTAGGGTTTAGGGTTTAGGGTTCGGGGTTTAGGGTTTAGGGTTTAGGGCTTAGGGTTCAGGGTTTCGGGCTTTCGGGTGCCGAAAGGTCAGGGTGTTAATTCGGAGCAGCATCGACTCGTATTGCCCCAAGGCACGCCTGGATCTTCCCCGACTGGCATCAGCATCGCATGGCCTTCCTCTCCTGGGCGGGCAAGGAGTTTATACATACATACATACATACATACATACATACATACATACATACATACATACATACATACATACATACATACATATGCATGTATATATATATATATATATATGTAAGATGTGTATATGTCTGTATCTGTATCTATCTATCTACATCTATCTACATCTATCTTCATCTATCTTCATCCTATCTATATCTATCTATATCTATCTATATCTATCTATATCTATCTATATCCATCTATATCTATCTATATCCATCTATATCTATCTATATCTATCTATATCCATCTATATCTATCTATATCTATCTATATCTGTCTATATCCGTCTATATCTATCTATATCCATCTACATCTATCTATATCTATTTATATACACCTAGGTCTATCTGTAACACCTATGTCTATCTGTATTTGTATATATATGTATATATGTCTTACATATCTGCTTGTCCTTTTTGTTGCTCATTGCTTGCCGAAATGCAGACACCCCAGTCTTAAGATCCTAAAGCCCTACCTAAGCCCCAATCCCGGACCATCCTTCCCTGAACTCTCAACCCTAAACCCTAAACCCTAAACCCTAAACCCTAAACCCTAAACCCTAAACCCTAAACCCTAAACCCTAAACCCTAAACCCTAAACCCTAAACCCTAAACCCTAAACCCTAAACCCTACCCCCTGAATGGAAGGAGCTTGGCTTCGGCTCCTTCCTATGGGCCGACAGGGCGCGGCTCTCGGTGAGAGGTTGCGAGGTCTTACGGCGCAGTTCAGGGTTCATGGGGTTTAGGGTTTAGGGTTTAGGGTTTAGGGTTTAGGGTTTAGGGTTTAGGGTATAGGGTTCATAGTAATTCAGGGTTTGTAAGGCTTTACCACGATGTTGGGAGCTTTGCGATGTAAGGTTTCGGAGTTTCGGTTTCAGGGGCCCTGCTTTGGATGGGATGTGCATGCAGCAACATCCTAAACCCTACAAATCTGTAGCAAAGGGGTTCAGTCATAAAGCCCCGGAGCTCTGGGCCCTAATCCTCAAAACCCAATGCGTTCAGCCGCCGAGTAGAACTGCCGATCCGCCACGTGCTCATCTTGACCCTGAACTCTCTGCAACCCTAAACCCTAAACCCTAAACCCTAAACCCTAAACCCTAAACCCTAAACCCCAAACCCCAAGCCCTAAACCCTAACCCCTAAAACCGAATCCCTATAGACCCTAAACACTAAACCCTGTGCCGCATACATCGCCCCCTTGTTGAGCCACCGGCTGAGGTCCTTCCGTTCTTGCCCATTGAGCCGTGCTACCCTTGTGAGTGCCAGTCTTCGTGAGGGCTCAGGCTTCCCGTTTCTGTTTTTTGTTTTCGGTGTTTAGGTGGGGGTTGCTCTGAATGAAGGTTCTTGTGTAGGTTTTTTGTTATAGCATCACCCCTGGGGGGAAAGCCCAAAGGATGCATGAGCCCGGGCACAGGAAACTTGGCATCTGAGCTTAAGAATTCGCGACGTGTACAGAGTTGCAGCTTTCTGCTGGTTGGTCCGCCCTCCTCCGACTATTCCTGAGGTGCCCTGAAACCCATCCTAAACCCTTAACCCTAAATCCTAAATCCCAAACCCTAAACCCCTAACGCCTCACCCCTAAACCCTAAACCCTAAACCCTAAACCCTAAACCCTAAACCCTAAACCCTAAACCCTAAACCCTAAACCCTAAACCCTAAACCCTAAACCCTAAACGTTGCTTCAGTCAGAGGGGTGCTGCTAGAATTCGCCACAGTTCGCTCTTGGCCGCCAGCTGCACGGAATAAGGCGCTGGGGCGAAGTCCCAGCTTTTCCAAAGTGGCAGCTCGCCTTCTGACTTTCGGGGTTTAGGGTGTAGGGTTTAGGGGTTTAGGGGTTTAGGGTTTAGGGGTTTAGGGGTTTAGGGTTTAGGGTTTAGGGTGTTGGGTGTAGAGCGACTTCGGTGCTGCAAGTCGGAATGTCTGGCTGCCTGTGCCTTGTGCGAGGTTCTGATGTGCAGAAGCCACGATGGGGGTGTTCTAAGTTCGGGTCCCTGTTCTTGGGCCAGTTTGAAGACCGGACGCAAGTCTGAAATCCATAGAACAACCCCACGCAAGACCTTGCAACCAAATCGTGCCCGTGTCGTTTTGCAGGAGGTGCACAGAGGTGCAGCTGCCGCACACGCCTCGATTCAAAACAGATACCCCAAGCCCTAGCTAGCTTCACTATAGACCCTAAAGCTTACCTGAACCAACCATACCTGAACCCTGCTCCTGCCCCCGCTCAAGTCAACAACAGCGTTAACAGGAGGGCTGGGCTTTGGAGTTTGCATCAGCTGAGCTGCAGGCCGGCTCTTCAGCATGCTCTGGAGGGGGGGGTGTTGGTGTCCAGGGGGTTGGGGCAAGGATGTACATGCCAGTTTGATCCCTGAGCATGGGGGTCGACTTGTCACAGCTGGCGTGAGAGACTTCTTTCATCTTTTGGCCACTTGAGAGGCGGACCGAGACGTCGTCTTGGCTGCAGTCAACAAGACGGGAGAGGCTGCAGAGCAGTAACCTGCATTCTGGATTCTCTAGACTCTGGCTTGTAGACCACCGCCCAAAACTGCCCAACTCCTCCCAAGCTCGAAGGCCCTCTTGCCGTTCGTGGGAAGCAGCGTGGGAATGCCGAATCATGCCCTTTGCCAGCATCGCTGCTGGTAGAGCTGGCACACAGGAACCCTGAAGAGCGTGCGGTTTTCATGTTGAGCCTAGAGTGCCGAAAGCCCGAGCCTCCCCTGAAACCCTGTACTGATGACACCGTGCATCCCGGGACCCCCGTTAAGCAAGACGTCGCCATCCTCCGAGCGCAGGCCCTACGCTACGCCCGGCGGTTCTGCGGCGACTACGAGGCAGTCAGGCCTAAACCCCTAAACCCTAAGGCCAGGAACTGCACCGCCCTCATTTGTGCATGTCCGGCATTGCAAGCGTGATATAAACCTTAAACCTTAAACCTTAAACCCTAAGCCCTATACCCTAAACCCTAAACCCTAAACCCTTAACCCTTAAAACCCTAAACTCAACCCTAACCCTGAGTTTGGCCGAAGAGTGCAAGAAGCGCCCTGCAGAGGTTGCTTTGGCGGCCGCGCAGAACTGTGGCTTGGTCCTGGCCCTCTTGGAGCCAGATGTGCAGGACCCCAAGCCCTAAACCCTAAACCCTAAACCCTAAACCCTAAACCCTAAACCCTAAACCCTAAACCCTAAACCCTAAACCCTAAACCCTACAGGAGAGGACGCTGTGGACGCTTGTTTCTTGTGTTACATACAAGCGTCCACAGCGTTGTTTTTGAACAGCCCACCCCAATTATTAATATTATTAATCATTGGGGGCCTGCTCGTAAGAATAAGATTGCCCCAGGGAATTTCTTCCGAGCACCCTCCTCACCACCCACCATTATTAATATTATTAATAATGGGTGGTGGCGAGGTGAGATGCTCGGAAGAAATTCCCTGAGGCAATCTTATTCTTACGAGCAGGGCCCGGATTATTAATATTATTAATAATTGGGGGCCTGTCTGTATGAAATAAAGTATTTTATTGAACCCCTAAACTGAACCTTAGAGTAGGGCCGCTATCGCCCTGAGGTATCTCGGCTGCAGATTGGCGAGACTTGGCTTGCGGATACAAGTGCAAATATATGTGTATATCTATATATTTTATGTATACATAGCTTCCAGTAAATCCAGCTAAAATATCTGAATGAGTATGAAATCCTTGATGAGTGAGTTCTGATTCCGAACGCGTGTCCCATTGCTGACATCTTTTGGTGAGCATTTGGGTGTGTGCCATGTATATGCAGAATCATTTGCAGTCATGCGCCATCTATCTTGACTGTCTCAGCTCGAGCAAGCTTATTATCCTTCACATTCCTGTAGACCGGCCTGCATCATGCAGTCCATCAAAGTAATCGGTGATGCAGTGTTTGATGGAGAAAGAGTCATGCTGGCGCTGGAGCCTACACATCCAGCTCCAGGGCGTCGTGACGGGAACCCACATGATGAACCACCCAATGCTGCAGAGCTTGTCGAGTCGATCCGTCAGGGAGAAGTACCTTGCCATCCTACGTGCGTGCCCGTGTCCATACAGCAGATTCAAGTCTTGATCAACAACGTCAAGACGAAAATGCAGTTTCGTGGATCCAATCAAATATGGTCCTCTGCAGCTCAAGAGAGCCTGCTGACAACTCTCTCCAAGCCAAAACGACATGCAAATGGTCGTGCTACAGTTACGAAGGGACAGGCCATTACGAACGGTGAAGAGATCACCAACCCAGCAGTTGCATCCATCACGAGCGGTGAAGAAATCATCAACCCAGCAATGGCATCAATGGATGCCTGCCCGGAAGAACCGCCTATCCTTGTCGTCGGCAACGCTGGCCATGAGACAGCTGTCAGTGAGGATGTCACCCACAAGCGCCCACATGTTGACAACGACAATGTGGACAACTCAGGAAACACGCACAGCAAGAAGTCCAAAAACGGCGTGAATGACACAGAGACTGATGACAACAAGTCCCACCAGGATGTGAAGGACGATGTGGCTGAGGTTACGAATAAGAGTAGTTCGCCGTCTTCGTCTTCCTCAAGCTCCTCTTCCTCGTCGATGCCTAAGGCCGAACTGAGGCGCCGCATCCTTACACTCCAGAGCGACCTCGAAGAGGTTACGAGGGACTTGTATCTAGCCAATGATACACTCGGACTGAATATGTAGGCCAAGCACATAGCAATCTTGCGGATTACGCAAACGGTGCACTACTACAAGGACAAAAAGGCCTGAGCGATATGCAGTGACCGAGCACCTTGTGCATATACTCACATGCTCTAGTCCCACATATATTCTGCTGTCACCTCGGTATCAAGTTCGTCTGTAGCGTCGTGCCGTGTAGTAGTCCTTCTCGCCTGCATTCGTCAGCAGCATGGATTCACTCACAAGACTTATCGATCAGGCGATGGCCAAGCACGGCTCCAAGGAGTGGGCGATCAAGGACCTGAACGAGCCGTCATACGTCAAGAAATCACCAGACGACCCAGGATGTGATTTGTCCATGTCTGCCTTTGAGAAGTATGTGTGCCGCAATGACGTCGCCCGGTATTGCACCTTGATGTTCGACTTCCACTACGCAATCCCAGAAATGGGTAACCTCAGTACTCTATGTACTCAATTGGCCCGTCTCGAGTATGAAGGTCTTCCTCCCCATTTGCGGCCTCCAGCAGACCTACCGAACGGGTGTGTCTTGTCCTATATCATCGTCAACAACCAAGATGGCACCATGAACGTCCTTCGTGTCTTCAAGTTCGCTGAGAGAGTCGCAGTTCAAAAGGCACGAAATATCTGCACAGGCCACTTTGCTATCCCGGCCAGCCGAAATGGGCCCTGGGCATGGTTGAAGGCAATCTACTCACTGCTGGATAGATTGCCGGGTCATCATGTGAAATGGTGGTCTCTGGAAGCAAAAGACAAGGACATGAAACGCTCCAGATCCGACGTATGGTGCCCTGATGAAGATGAACTCCGCACGGGTGTTGAATACATCAACAGGGAGGCCCCGGACGATGATTCGAAAAACCAACAATACCTCTGGATCCTGACGAAGATCCAGGCGGATAGTGGCTCCCCGATTTCGGGGTGGCCAGAAACCAAGGTGATTCGAATGGCCCAAAACAAGTCGAGGGCCACAACGGGAGCAACGTCGATGACTTTCTTCCCTTTCACTCTGAAGAGCATGAAGCCTCTGATGAGTGAATTCCTATTCCCCATGCTTGCCCCATTGCTGACATCATTTGGCATCGTCACCATCGGCTGGCCTGGCGTCGGAAAGACCCCGTTCTTGATCGCACTGAGTCTAGCTCTCGGACGATACCAAATCCAGCGAATGGGCTTGGAGAATGCGGTGGCAGCTTGGAGGCGAGCAAAATCAATGGACAACTTTCGCCATAAGACTGGCCAGGTGTATGAGGGTCTTATCCTGGACGACCCCTCCATGGATCGCATCGACGCCGCTGATCTCAAAAGCTGGCTTACAGCTGAGGAGGATCAGAACTGCTCGAGTCGGTATACCGACGTGAAGCTTGTTCGAAATACCTTACGTGCTGTCTCATCCAATGACCTGGAGGAGGAGCAGGAGCCTCCGAGAGATCGCCGGCGTACTACCATCGAGCCCACAGAGTTCTTTACCCTCGTCAAGAAAATGTTCCAAGGCTACAAGGAGGCAGATGTGATGGCAATCCTTAAAAGGTGTGTCGTCATGGTGTTCGGGAAGCACTCCTTCTATCTTCGCCTGCCCAGTCAGGATCATGATGCAGTCGTACATCGCCTCCATGACGAGAACCTACACGAGGATCTCTTCATGGACAGGGACAAGGCCTTTTGTGCAAAGTACAAGACCGGCGTACATGAGCTACCGCCCGCCCATGCAGAAGACATCGAGTGGGAGCAAGCCTTGATTGGCCAGGGTATGCGTCACATGCACCTTGCGGGCCGCCCTGAGCTCTATATTCAGGAGATCAACGATACCATAGCTACAAAGAACCGGGAAGCGACTTTGGCAGCCACTGCAGTTCTTCTTCCCCCTTCTATCTCCAGCGATGAGGAGAGTAGAGTGCCCGTACCAGACCCAGCGGCTTTACCCGTCGCATGCATGAAGCCACCTCGGCGCCTTGGTACCTTCAACATCCCCGGTGCTAAGCGGCGTCTGACCGGGAAAACATCCTTGCCCCCTCCCATGGCGGAGTCAGATGCGGGTAACCATGGCACGGCTTCAGCCTCATCTACCGACATCAAGGAGCCGAACACGGAGGAGGACGATCCAGATGAAGAGGCGGCGCGTGCTCTTCACGATTGAGAACCAGAACAGTGAGTCAGGCCGGCGCAGGATATAAGACACATACCGAGGCAACGCACGCGAGCACAGCAGAACGATGAGGAAACTAAGTGTGTGCCTGCAGAACTCCATTTCTATATCCAGCGCTTGCACTAGTGCATGCGGTGTACATGAGGCGACCTGTTCATTTCGCAGCATATGAGAGTGTAAGTAGTGAGAGCGTCGTAGTTCCCGTCGCCATGAAACGTCCAGCCAGTGTAAGCTCCATGCGGCGCCCGTCCGCATCGTCCGGTTCCTCTCATTCTACGTCTTCCATGAAGGATGTCACGAATATCAAGGAGTACATCTACCCGGGGGACGACTGCCCCGTGTGTGGCATGAGGCTGTACACCAGAAAGGACAAAGCAGTTTGTGCGGTTCTTTTGGGAGGTGAGACCATAACCGATGTGAAAACATATCCCAAGGTCTGCAATCGCTGTAGAAACACCACGCGCTACAACCTCGTGACCGTCGGTAAGGAGACACTGAACTGCATGTCACTGGATGAAATGAAACAGTGTGGGGCACTGTTCATCACTTCCAAGACCGCCTTCAGCTTCTCGTACCTGGAGATGACGTACATTCGCCTCCTTCGTGGTAAGCTTGCACCTGGGCAGGAAAGCTCTATCCTACACATCTACCACTCTGAGGATACCAGGATGCCTACATCCCGACGACTTCGTGAGTTCTTGCTGCACGCTCTAGAAGCCTACGCCGTTGCCAAACGTACTCCGTCGGTTGCGGTTCAGTTCAACATGAGCTATCCAGCGAGCGCAGTTACCAAGGTTGGAAAGGTCATCACGTTCCCATGCCCAGATGCAGTCAATGCTATTTCCTTTGATGGCCACTTTGGTATCCATCGCACATTGTCCAAGTGGGACGCCCCTCGTGACACCAAGCTCAAAGGCTATCCTCGGCAGAAGGTGTTGCGGGAAGATGAGCGGAGCTGCTCATGCAGAAGGAAGGACGCAAAACGTCTTGTCCTACCTCAGCGGACGGCGGGGTGGCACTTTGCCGTTGATCCCGATTCGAGGCGCATCTTGGGGGCGGTGGAGCACATACAGAACGAGTGCAACAAGGATAAGGTTCGTCTCCTCAAGACTGTGATGCATATGCCGGGCATCCACGCGGATCTTCTGATCCATGATGACATCTGCCACTTCCAGCCCTTTGTCACGAAGCACCACGCTGAGGCATTCGCCGGGATTAAGTTTTGGGTGATTGATGCATTTCATTGTCCCAACCACACGTGTGATAAATGCGTCTGGTCCACCGCGGAAAAGCGCCGGTGTAAGAGCGTTAGAACGAACGTCTCAGAGAGTGTGAACGCCTGGGTGAGAAGCCTCAATTTTTCTTGAATAGCCTGAGACCACTCTCGCACATCTTCTGGATGGAGGAGATGGGCACATTCTATAACTCCAACTTGCAGTCCGTGCCAGTACGGATTAATAAGAGGACGAATGTGCTGGGGCGTGCGAAGCGTGTCCTCAAGAAGCCGGCCGCTCGTAAGGTCTTGAAAAGACCGTCGATCTTGAAGAGATCGTAATCCAGTCTTCTCCCATCGTCGCACCACCTTCTGCGTATCCTGTGATCGTAATCCAATCTTCTCCCATCGTCGCACCGCCTTGTGCGTATCCAGTAAGGAGTAGTCTGTAAGCTGTCGTCAGGTAGCGTCACTGTAGCGTCGATGATCGGAGTAATGGGGACATCCCGAGGATATAGATTTCCTAACTGTGAGTAGCTGGGGCAAAGCAAAATGAAAAAGACCTGTGCTCCTGAGGGTGGGTCGGCTGAGCTTACACGTATATATATATATATATATATATATATATATATAGTGCGACGTCCTTCCTGTCAGTCTTTTTATGCTTATGCATCCAAGGTACCTCGGCTGCAACTGGTTGTGACTTGGCATCTGGGTGATACACACGCACAAAAAAAAACATGTAAAACAATAGCCGCAACTCTACAACAGACAAGCGTCCACAGCGTCCCCCTCCCAAACCCTAAACCCTAAACTTTAAACCCTTAAACCCTAAACCCTAAACCCTAAACCCTAAACCCTAAACCCTAAACCCTAAACCCTAAACCCTAAACCCTAAACCCTGAACCCTAAACCCTAAACCCTAAACGCTAAACCCTAAACCCTGAACCCTAAACCCTAACTATAGCTAAAGAAGCGATAGGGTCAAACGGCAACCCCTGTAGGGTTGCAGGATTACAAGGTGGGCTGGGTATAGATTGTTGGGTTTAGGTTTCAGGGCTTAAGGGTTTAGGGCGTAGGGCTCTCGGCTGGAGATGAGGTTTATGTAGGATGCCCAATTTGATGGTCAAATCTCTGGGAGCTCCTCAAATCCTCAAGATTGGGATGGCCCCACCTCAGGGTATTCACCCTGCTTCTGACCTGCTGAATACTCTACGCCTGTACGCCTGGAAGTCCAGTCTTTTTGGCTTCCCTGCAATATCTGCAGGACCTGCCCCTTGTCCTGGCAGCGATCCGGCAGGTCGCCGCCAGGGTGCTGTGGGTCACGCAGGTTAGGGTATGTATATGAATATATATATAATATGTATATGTATATGTATATGTATATGTATATGTATATGTATATGTATATGTATATGTATATGTATATGTATATGTATATGTATATGTATATGTATATGTATATGTATATGTATATTTATACATAGATATGTATGTATGTATGTATGTATGTATGTATGTATGTATGTATACATATATATATATGTGTGTATATATATATGTATGTATAATAGCTTTCGTGGTTCCAGACATGGTGTTTCATGGCTGTCCGCAAGCGACACATCATGTCGAACAGGACTCCAAGCCTGAACTCTGAGCCCCCACCCACGGCAAAAAGACACACCCATGCCCCCACGTGGGAGGCGGATCTAAATTTGGATCCCTGTTTTGGTTCCATGCATAAGGCGTCCTTCTGTAAAGAGTGCCCTCCAAGAAGCCCAACGCCCCCAGACTTTCTAACCCCTCCTGAACTGGACACCCTCCTCAGTCCGAAGATCTAAATATCCCAGAATCCTTAAGCCCGCAAAGCCTTCAAACGCCCCGAGCCCTAAACCCCAAGCACAACCGCCCTAGACCCGAACCCCGAAAAACCCTAAAGCCCTCAACCCTAAACCCTAAACCCTACACCCTAAACCCTAAACCCTAAACCCTAAACCCCCTCCCAAAACCAGCTGGGAGGATGCCCGGGCCATGGACTTCGTCGAGCTGCGCCTGCGCCGCGCAGTGCAGGAGGTGGGCGGCATAGCATCCAGGAAGGGCTTCAGGGGGCTTTAGGGTTTAGGGTTTAGGGTTTAGGGTTTAGGGTTTAGGGTTTAGGCTGGGCTTCACGGCTTGATGGCTTTAGGATGGAGGATTGGCGTTGAAGGCCAGTTTTTTTTTTTTTTTTGGGGGGGTTTCTCGCTGTTGCAGTAGGTTGCTTCGGGTTTGAGATTCAGGGTTCGGGGTTTCTGTTTCCGGGCTGCTTCCACTTCTTCCTGGGTAAGGGTCAATATCATGGTCATTGCCCTTGTTGTCAAGCTTCTGACTGTTTCAACTTTGTTTCACTTTGTTTCACTTTGTTTCACTTTGTTTCACTTTGTTTCACTTTGTTTCACTTTGTTTCACTTTGTTTCACTTTGTTTCACTTTGTTTCACTTTGTTTCACTTTGTTTCACTTTGTTTCACTTTGTTTCACTGTCATCATCACGATCGGTATCAGGATCACGGTCATTATCCTTGCATTATCATGATTCAATGCTACTGTGATTTGAGTATTATCCGTACTACTCGTATTCATATTCTGCTGTTACCATCATCCCCAAGTCTTCTCGTTCTTCTGACCAGAAGAGCTCTGAGATGCTGATGCCTTGGACTGAGGCCTTGGGATTGCCGTACTGTCCCTGGGTATCGGCAGGCGCCCTGCAAGGGCTGAGAGGGGAGCCTCGTGTGACCTGGGGCACCGCTTCGATCAGAACTCCAAGAAGGCTCGCAAGAGTAATTAGGCGCTTGCTTTCGCTACCCATCGTCTTTCGGTCGAAAGAGCTGAGCGAGATGCTGCATCTGCCTAATAGTCGTCATTTGAGTCATTCGCGCAGCATTCTTGGCCGAGAAGATCTGACCGCCCCGAAGTGGGAAAGCATGGCACGCCCACGTTGGGTCGGTCCCAAACCCTGTTTGCCCTTGATTGGCACAATTAGGGGAGCCTACCATAGATGAACCCCAAGCATAGCATTTAAGGTTTAGGGGTTTACCCATCCATTGAAGCTTTATTGTTATCCCCAAGGTTACAAGAAGAACGTAATGATGGTGGTGCCACTGGCAATGGCCAGGGTGATCGTAGTAATGATAGTAGTCTTAATTCGCGGCCCTCGCAAAGGAACGGAAAGAGCTCCTTCTGAAGTGTTTTGCATCTTGCAGTGTTTGGGTTGTGCCGTGTGTGCCTTCCGTAACAGCGACAACTCCGAAGCTCGGCAGGTCAGGGCCAAGAGTCGACACCATCCACGGCCAGGCAGTTGTGGCCATTGGGTTTTGCTGTTTAGGGTTTAGGGTTTAGGGTTTAGGGTTTAGGGTTTAGGGTTTAGGGTTTAGGGTTTAGGGTTTAGGGTTTAGGGTTTAGGGTTTAGGGCTAGGGGGTTAGCATCTTTGGTAGACAGCAAAGAAAGTCGCACCTGAGGTGTGGCAGCAGGGCGAAGCCCGAATCCCTAAATGCCCAACCCCAAAACTCCTAACCCCCAAGCCCTCTACCCTAAACCCTAAACCCTAAACCCTAAACTTTAAACCCTAAACCCCAAACCCCAAACCCTAAACCCTAACCCCTCCTTGTGCCAGGCTGGCAGATCCAGCCTTGAAGCGCCACTTGGAACAGCTGGGACTCCCAGAGACAGCTTCGGCCGAGGACGCTGGGGTTGTGGGTTTAGGGTTGAGGGTTGAGGGTTGAGGGTGTAGGGTGTAGGGTTTAGGGTTCAGGGTTTAAGGTTCAGGGTTTAGGGTGTAGGGTTTCGGGTTTAGGGTTTAGGCTTTGGGGTTTAGGGTTTAGGGGGTTTCGGGACTTGAGGTCTTGAGGGTTCAGGGTTTGGTGCGTCGGTTTAGTGTTCAGGGTTAGGATCTAGGGTTAGGGCGTAACCAGTGCGTCTCTAGGTTTCAAGTTTTGCGGCCTTAGTGTTTAGGACAGTCGTTCTGAGGGTAGCGAAAAAGGGAGGGCGCAGCCCGTTGCGAAGTGGAGGCTGGCTCTCAGCAGCTCTTGCTTTCACCGATGCGGTTGCTTGCCACCACTCCCGGCTGAAGCTCGAGACCCTAACCGCCCCACCCGTAACCCTGAACCCTACACTTTGCCTATCCCGAACCGCCCCAAACACTGAATCCCCGGACTGAGAGGAGATCCGGCAGGGCTTCCGGAGATTGGCCCTGAGGCCCAGATTCCCCTAAAAACCCCTGAACCCCTACGTTTCGGGGCTTCAAGGGCTTCAAGGGCTTCCGGGGCGGGACTTGGGTCGGGATTCAGGGTCTTAGGCTTCAGCTCGGCTCTTGTCAAACAAGGCTTTGGGGGGATGAAGGGCCCGGCCCAGTGCGACGCGATCGTCGTAGGGTTGGTGGATGTACCTGCCCTTCGTAGGCCGCGTGAGTCTGGGGAAGCCAAGTTATCAGAGAAGCACGGGGGGCATGTCGGCACATCCACCTTTTCTTTTCTTCAATCACCTCTTTGCCTTTCCTGCTCCTGTTTCGGCTGCACATCGCTGCTTGCAGAGGTAGAGTGCATTGGGGCGTCTGCCCTGGTTACGGGCGATCGCAGTTGCCGTTCGCAGGGACATGGCCAGCTGCAAGCTCGAGAGCATGACGCGCCATTTTCTCGTGTCATAGTCAGCACCCTCGTTCGAAACACATCTAAACCCCTCTGAGCCGACATGAGCCCTAAACCCTGCCTCCCAAACTCCTCGCGCGCGACTGAATCCGGACGGCCAGGTATCATCCAGACAAGAACAGTGAGAAGGCCACGGAGCCTTAAGCCCTAAACCCTAAACCCTCAACCCTAAACCCTTAACCCTAAACCCTAAACTCCCTAAACCCTAAACCTGGAAAACCCTTTCTGCAATCTTCCTGTCGAACTTTGCGGGGCCAGTGGGCTTGGGGAGCTTCTTGGCCCGGGAGAGGTTCCTAACAGTGCTCGGCTGCTTTACACGGGTGTGGGAGGTTAACGTCCGGCATTTTACGATTTCGGGGGCGGGGTGGGGGGGGGGATGGGTGGGGGGGGGTTAGAGGGTGTAGGGTTTAGGGTTTAAAGAAAGGGGCCGCTTTATAGTCAGGACCTCAAAAGGAACCACAACTTCGAGATTTGTCCATGTGGGGTTTGGGGTTCAGGGCTGAGGAATCTCCATATCCCGAAGTCCTACACCCTCGCAATGGAACTCCAACTGCCTTTGCAGGATGTCGGAAAGGCGACCGAGGCACATCCTGTCTTTTTATTATCAGAACCTGGGTTTTAGGGGATTTAAAGTTGTAGGGTGTTGGGGTTCTTAGGGTTTTGGGGTTTTAGGGTTTTAGCGTTTTTAGGGTTTTGGGGTTTTAGGGTTTCAGGGTTTTAGGGTTTTAGGGTATTAGGGGGCGTCACTGTCATCCGCTAGGGTGCAGGTGCCTCTGGGCTTTGGTTTTACGGCGGTTCAGGGTTGAGGCTTCAGCGCTGTGGCTGGCTCAAATGGACTGTTTTTTTGCTCCAGTTTCGATGTGTTGAGGTCTGGGAAGGCAGGGCCAGCGCAGAAGACCAGTAGGATGTAGTCGACAGACTCCGAAAGACCAGGCATGGATCACAAAGGGCATGCGAAGACTTCGGGGAGGCTTCGGTCGTGCTCAGAACTGGAAGCCACGGAGCCCAAAAGACCCCTTCAACCTTCTCAGCCTATTTCCAGCCCCGGCAGATGACGACGATGATGCTTATTGTTGCTATTACTGTTCCTCTTTCTTTCCTATATATATATATATATATTACCATTGCCATGTATCCCTGCTATTGCCATTGCCATGTATCCCTGCTAAAACAAAGGAATGTTGCGATTGCTTTTGCTGCTTCTGCTGTCATTACTACTTCTCTTACAATTGCCATCGCTTCTTGCCAGTACTCTTGCTACTACCAGTGCTGTCTTCATTGGTAAGACTATTGCTCTTCGAATTGGATTATCAATGAGTTAAGTAAGATTGATGGAACAGGCCCAGTTCTGAGTTCTGACAAGCACCTTGCGCAGGCGTTCCAGCGCATCAGCGGGGCCTACGCAGCACTGAAGGAGGCGCTCGGAGAATGAGGACAGGGGGCCAAAGGGCCAACCCTTAAATCGGTTTAGGGTCCAGAGGGCTTTAAATCGCCTCAAGGGGCCAAACTCTTACCCGAAGCCCCAAACCCAAAACTCCTAAACCCTAAACCCTAAACCCTAAGCCCCCAAAAGCCTAAACCCTAGATCGAAGGAGGACCGGACGGGGTCCCTGAAGGGCCATGGCGGCGAAGGCAGAGGGTCCTTGGGGCCTGGCGTGTTGCAGGGTTTAGGGTTTAGGGTTCAGGGTTCAGGGTTTAGGGACAGGCGGGAGCGCCCTTAACAACATCACAGTGGTGCTGAACCGGTTTGGTTGTTCTGGCTTCGAACATTGCCGCAGGCGAAGCACGTGCGCTACCAGCAGATGCGGCAGGCACGTGGCCCAGGGGTAAAGTGACAAAAGACTTCACATGTCACGTGCTCTACAGCAAGGCCATCCCTCCATGGCGCCTTCGCGATGTACTGCAAGCGGACGGGCCTGGGCAGGCGCTCGATTAACAATATTCGGCATCAGAGTCGAGCCATTCAGGGCTGTGCGGCATGGCGATGTCAGGTACTACCAGCGCAGGCCACACATGGGAGTCAATCCAATCATGTGGCAACCGTGGCATGCGCTTTGAGATTGTATAGTATAGCTCTTTGAGAAGATTCGCACATCAAGAGGCATGGTTTTGCAAGAGGTCCTCAACCCCAGCTAGACAAGTAGCGCAGCAACCCACCATAGCAGCCCCGTGGTTAACGTGCCCATACAGCCCAAGTTCGGAAGCTCGATCGGTATCTCTTGGTTAGCCGGTCTCTTTACGTCTCATGTGATTGCATCCTCATAACTCGATTAGAAAAGCAAGGAGACACGAAAAAACATGCAATTCACTTTTGGATTCTTGGTTTTTCTCTCTTATAAGTCTATCTGTTTGAGTTTTTTATCTGTAGCAAATGATGTTGAATACCCAGTTTCCACTTCGCGTTCTTGCATTCTGCATTCGTTGTCCGGATCCGTGATGCCTTTACTATACAACTGTATTGATCCATGTAAATTCGAACCCATTTTCGTTTCAATTGCGTTGTGGGATACAGGAAGTCAGGGTCAGTTGCCAAGTGTGTGGATGTTGCAAAGGCTCGAATACAAATCAGCCCACAGCAGGCGATGCAGGAGCACGATTGCATCCCCATGTTCGAGCAGGCCGGAACTGCGGTCTTGTGAGCAGGGTGCTCAGAAGGAGGATGCCTGCGTAGGTGGCCTTCTTTTGCTTCCAGATTTGCGTTGAAGTGGCGCGCCTCCTCCAAGCTCCCCCTGTTTGCATCCTTTGAGACCTCTTAAGGTTCGAGCAGAGGAGAATCTTCGAGTCTGCTTGAGCTCACGAGGAGGTGCCGGGAATGAAGACGTATGTCACCATTTCTCTGCTGCGCCACACTGCTCGGAAGATCTCGGAAGCTCTGAGTTATCAGAGCCGGGCGGCCCGACGCCGATCGTAAGGGCGTCTTGAGAGAGACTTGATACCACCTTGCTTGAAGGTTTAGAGATGCAAAACCTACGTGCTACTGTAGGAGGCCTTCAGGTAGCTGTATGCAGCTGTGACTCATGCAGGCTCTTCTCGAAGAGAGGCCGGCAGACGATGAACGGCATCAGTGAAGACGGAGCCTCGATTCACCAAGGACACTTCTTTTCAAAGAGCAGTTGTGCTGTCTAGCTTGTAGCCGCAAGAAGCAACAAGCTCGATTTGAAGGGTGCGATTGCATCGCTCATCGTCATAGTGACAGGAAGAGACCGCACTTGTGTTGCTGTGAACACTTGTAGATTTCGAGAAGTTTGTCAGCTCGCGCTGTGATCTCTTCGACAAGAACAAAGGTCGCTGCGGCGCTCGATGCTGTGGAGGCATCCCTGACTTGCTGAGCACCTCAGTGCCACACTGACGCGATCTGCTGGAAGCTTTCAAAATCCAGGCTTCGTTTCTTGGCTGTCCGCCTATGAGGATTCTGCTGCATCTGAGAGTAGGAAGGGGGACCCAAAGTTCTGAACCCCCCCCCCCCCCCCTTCCCCGCTGATTTCATGGCGTCTCCACCATCGACGCATCAGCCTCCGACATTGCTCAAGTAGTGCGTCCGCTTGCCAGGGCGACTGAGGATTACCAATTTTTGTCCCTTTTGCAGAACCCTTGGCAAACAAGCCTATCAACTTTCCAGAACATGCCGAATCAATCGGCCCCTAGAAGATGGCCCGCAGCAGAGTTCGTACCTATTGTATTTCGGTTGACAGAGCTTGGCGAGATGCTGCATCTGCCCCATAATCGTTCTTTGATAATCGGAAGAGAATGACGGTCATTAGCGCAGCATTCTTGGCCGAGAAGGTCCGATCTGCCCCGAAGTGTGAAAGCATGGCACGCCCGTGTTCTCGTGCCGTGTGCCAACACTGCGGCCTTCGAGTCGGGCTGTTCGGCGTGAATGGCTTTGGCTTCAGTCGGAGAAGACAATGTCTTCTCCGACTGAAGCCGAAGCCATGTGAGGCCCGCTGCGCTGCAGCTGCTGCCCAAGAGATGCCCCTTCCGATCCAACCGATCGAACCCGGCGTCTGTGAAGCTGCCAAGCTTCTTGTGTCAAAAGTAGACGTGGGCATGGATGTGGAGATACTGCACGAAAACGACTTAGTCTGCTTCTTGTATAATACAAAAAGCGGACAAAGTCGTTTTCTTGTAGTATCTCCAGAGATGGAGGGTGCTGCTGGCGGCAGACCAAGGCATAGCGCGCGAGGTCACTTCGGGGAGCCTTGACCGTAGCTCGTAGGGGGGTTGATTCATATTTATGGACACGTTACATGACACAGGGCGGACAGCAAGGCCATGACTAAGGCAGGTAACTGCTTGCGGCAGTTTTGCACAGAGGCGCAGCATTCTCTTTCAAGAAGATCTGACCGCCCCGAAGTGGGAAAGCGTGGCACGCCCGTGTTCTCGTGCCGTGTGCCAACACTGCGGCCTTCGAGTTGGGCTGTTCGGGGTAAATGGTTTCTGAGTAGCTGAGTGAGTACACTTTACACTTTTTGGGATACTATAATCCCCTATAGAACTGAGAAGTGTACATTTTTTGGGGGGCTTATGAACTCAGCAACTAAGGTTTCGGCTTCAGTCGGAGAAGACACGAGGCCCGCTGCGCTGCTGCTGCTGCTGCTGCTGCTGCTGCTGCTGCTGCCCAAGAAATGCCCGGGGCCGGGGGCATTTCATTTTTTTGGCTTCAGTCGGAGAAGACATGAGGCCCGCTGCGCTGCTGCTGCTGCGCAAGAGATGCCCCAGGCCCCAGCTCCGATCCAACCCGGCGTCCTTGAAGCTGCCAAGCTTCTTGTGTCAAAAGTAGACGTGGGCATGGATGTGGAGATACTGCACGAAAACGACTTATTCCGCTTCTTGTACTTTTCGCAGAAAGAGATGGAGGGGCTGCTGGCGGCAGACCACGCCATAGTGCACGAGGTCATGGATCTGGCCATCGTCACGTGGAAGCCGGGGGGCCGGCCAGGTGCGCAGGTTAAGCCGGCCTTGGCCGTGGGGTCAGGAAAAAACACACTGTCCAGACACGTCCTCGGTGTCACGAGACGATGAAGCAAGACATTGCATCGACCTCCTTGCCGACAACCTCCCCAACTACATCGATACGGATGAGATGGTAGGCCTTGGGAAAATTTCAAGGCCATCGCCGTGGAACGCCGTTTCACATTTGAAGCAACGTTCCACGGCGATGGCCTTAATATCTTCCCCAAAGCCTACCATGTCATCTGTATCGATGTACTTTGGGAGGTTGTCGGACAATAAGCGTGGCAGCCTACGGCGGCGGGTGGGCCTTGTGCTTTCCAAGATAGCGCATGGCGGTGTCACCACCCGATCATCCTTGTGAGGAGCTCACATGTTGGGTCGGGCCTATGCTGGCTGATGGTTTCGCAAACAGGGAGGCGCTGCGCAAGCCGAAAACCTGGGCTGTGCAAGCGCCTGGTTTGTTGAGGCTTGTTGAAGTTGGGCCAAGGCTGAAGCCCAAACCCTTTTTGCCCTTGGGTGCCACAATTAAGGGAACCTACCATAGATGAACCGCAAGCATAGCACTTTGGGTTTAGGGGTTGCCCCTGTGTCATAGGGTACCCGGCCGCAAACGTTCCATTATCATTGCAACGGTAGCGGGCGCGGAACAAGTTTCTATCCTAAGGTCCTTGAAGCACTCATGTCGCACGTACCCATGAGAGCTGGAAAGTCTCACCTGGCGCTGTTGCTAGCTGTTCTTGCACGGCGTTTGGCTGCCAGCACTGGAACTGTCAGAGCTGTTGTCGACCTGAGAAGGCTCTCCGCGGGCATACATAGGTGCAGGGCTGTGTCGCCACCAAGCTCTGCTAGCTAGTCATCCGTAAGCCCTAAACCATAAACCCACACGCTCCGCCAACTCAGCTCACTTTCCCCGCACCCGAACGCCTCCAACCCTGGAGGTCTCAACGTAGGCTTTCTGGCAGCCTCAATGCTACAGACTGCTCCTTAAACTGCAGAATCCCCAAAGCCCTAAAGCCACGAAAACACCTCAGCATCCCCCTGTGAGCCCTAGAAACCCTTATCTCTTATCCCCACACCCCTGAACCCTCAAGGCCCTGCAAAGCCCCCCAGAACCCTGAGCAGCAATGTGGAATGGGCTGCTCCAAGCCGTGGAGCGCCGTTGGCGACGGGACCGCCGAGTTGCGAAAGGGTTCAAGGTTCAGGGTTCGGGGTTTGGGGTTTAGAGTTTAGGGTTTAGGGTTTAGGGTTTGGGGTTTAAGGTTTCGGGTTTCGGACCCTAAGCCCTAAGCCCTAAAGCCTAAACCCTAAAGCCGCAACGCTACTAGGCCCTACACCATGAGTAGGGCTACGGGAATGTCAAGGGCTCAACCCACAACCCTCAACCCTCAACCCATTTCCTGGTTCGGGTTTAGGGTTTAGGGTTCAGAGTTTAGGGTTTAGGGTTTTGGGTGTAGGGTTTAGGGTTTAGGGTCCACACCGCCTGGCAAGAGCGGTGGACACCCCTGTGCAGAAATCATGACATGTTGGCACGAGGGGGCCAGGGAACAAACGAGTTGGGAAGCGCTTCGTCCCAACATCAGGGGCGAGGGATGGAACCAGCAACAGAACACTGTAAAAAACTCTCCCAGGCAAAACTCATGGCGCGGAAAGGAAAGGATCGCTTAATCAAACTCATTCATTGCATTGCTTCATGAATCACCACGAAAGCCAGCAAAGGTTGCGAGAATGCTTGGATGATGCTGCCCCCCGCGCGTAGAAATGCTGCGTCTCAACCATCTGCACGAGAGCATTGCCCTGGAAACACTGCAGGATACCGCCCTGTAGGCGGATCATGCAGAGGATGTGTGCCACCATCATCATGATGCCAGTCTGTTTGTGCCACCAAAGCAGCTGCTTTTTGGCCTGGGTATTCGAGCGAGATGTGGGCCGTGCCCATGCTGCCGAAGAGGCCCACGGCAATGAGGAGCCTCAGGGTCAGGATCCAGGATCGAAGGAGAAACAGGCCAACGCGTCTCCCGAGCGGAGCTGTTCAGTCCAAACACTGGCAATCATGGCCATCATCTCCAGTATGCCAATTGCAATCTCATCGTCCAGGCAGCTTTCTTTCATCGCCAGAGAGTTGCCAGAATACAACGGCGGTTGCCCGCCCATGTTCCCGCAGCTTGCTCGTTCACGTGGGCATCTTAGCCCTCCAAGACTCTCGCGGAACCCATGCATGAGGTGCCCATCTGGCAATGGGCACCTTGCCGCTGGCAGCTAGCAGGTCGTGCAAGACGGGGCGATTATTCCCCCAAGACTCCGTGCAACGCCGCTCCGCAAGCAGGTCGCCTTTCTCCACACAAGTGTTTGTGCCTGTCACGTTTTTGACAGACCAAATCGTGCACCTCCGTGAACAGCAGTAGGACAAGGCTGCCATCGTCCAATGTAGGGGTTGCGGCGCAGGTGAGCGAGCGTATTCTCACGCAATTGCACCAAACTAAGGCCACTTACCCAGTCCTCAAGAGTCCTCTCTGCCAGTCTCTTGATTTGGGATTTCCGAGCCTCCAGTCCAACTTGTACCGTCGAGTGTAGGGCCATGGCATAGAGCACTGGGGTCTTCAGCAATACGAGCGCTGTTGCTCGTTCGATCCGACACCCTACCCTCAACCCCAAAACCCAAACCCCAAACCCCAAACTCCAAACCCCAAACCCTAAGCCCTAAGCCCTAAACTCTCAACCCAAACCCTAAACCCTAAACTTAACCTTAAACCCTCAACCCTCAACCCTAAACCCCCTCAACCCTAAACCCCAAACCCTAAACCCTAGACCCTAAACCCTAAACCCTAAACCCTAAACCCTAAACCCTAAACCCTAAACCCTAAACCCTAAACCCTAAACTCAACACCCTAAACCCTTGAGCTGCTTGCGCGCGCATGGCATTTGCTTTGGCAGGATGACGACTCTTCGAGCCGTCAGCTCAAGGCCGACTTGATCATCACAATCTGTTTGGGGGATTGGGGGATTAGAGTTTAGGGTCTTAGGGAATTAGAGTTTAGGGTTTTGGGGGACTAGAACTTGGGGGGTAGGGGATTAGAGTTTAGGGTTTTAGGGGATGAGAGTTTAGGGTTTTAGGGGAGTAGAGTTTAGGGGTTTCGGGTGTCGGGCTTGAAGGTTTTTTTGAGTTCAGGGTGCATGAACCTGTGGAGTAAGCTTGAGTGACTGCCGTCTAGGGTTTGGGGTTTGGGGTTTGGGGTTTAGGGTTTAGGGTTTAGGGTTTAGGGTTTAGGGTTTAGGGTTAGGGGTTCACTGATGACGCTGCAGGTGTACTCTTGCTGGCCTGATCATTTCGCTCCGTCGTTTGCACTTTTGATCCCTAAACCCTAAACCCTAAACCCTAAACCCTAAACCCTAAACCCTTGATCCTAAACCCTAAGCCCTGAACCCCAAACCCTAAACCCGAAGAACCTCCAAGTTGGCAGGGTGGGCGGATGAACGACCCCTAAACCTTCACCTCAAGCCCCCAAGCCCACGCTGAACCCAACCCTGAACTCTGAATCCTAAACCCTCTCAGCCCTTATCAGCCTTTCTCTCAGCACCATAAGCCACAAAAACGCAGAGCTGTTCAACCTCAAGCCTCAGCCCTCATCCCTCATCCCTCAACCCTCAACCCTCGACCCTCAACCCTCCACCCTCTACCCTAAGCTCTACAGCCTCCCCCCCCCCCCCCCCCCAAAAAAAAAAAAAAAAAACCCAAACCCCCGCTGCGACAGCTGCTGGGTGGGGCGGGCCTGGTTCTCTGCGGCGCTCTGCTTGTGGCAGGGGGCCCCGGAACTCCCATGCGGGGATTATCGGGGGTTTGGGGTACTTTAGGGGCTGTAATGAAGGTTTAGGATGTTTTTGTGTTTTTAGGCCAGGGTTTGGTAGGGTAGGGCTTGGGGGCTTTAGAGCTTGAAGGGTTGGTCCGGTCTTGCGAGGGATTCGGGGTCTAGGCTACTAAGCTTTAAGGGTTAATTCTCAGGGAGCCCGAAGGAATCTTTGACTATGTAGCGGGGGTCCTTTGCTTGAAGGAAGGCACACATGCCTAAGAAACCAAGACTGTATTGGGATTGCGGTATAGGGCTTCTGCGGGCTTTGTGGGCATCAAATTCACGCGCCTCGAAGTCGCCAGAGACACGAACGAAACTTCCGTCCCAGATCCGATCCTCAATTTTAGGGTTTAGGGTTTAGGGTTTAGGGTTTAGGGTTCAGGGTTCAGGGTTTAGGGCCAAGCCTCAGAAGCTCTCCCTCGCCCCCTGAAGCTCCAGACCCCAAAACTTGGGGCCACAAGACGAAGAGGTGGAATCCGGAATTTCATGGCTCCGGAAGACGGGGTTTTTCCAAAACCCTAAACAGAAAACCCGAATATATTCCCCCAGACTTTTAAGGTTTAGGGTTTAGGGTTTTGGGAGGGGTGTATTGTTTAGGGGTTTCGGAGTCCTGAGTCCCAGTGCTCGGCAACCCCTGGCCGAGGTGCGCCGGCGCTTGGCCAACGCACATCCTCCTCCTGCCTGGGGGCCACGATATTTAGGGCTTACGAGGGTTTAGGGTTTAGGTTTAGGGTTTCGGGTGTAGGGCTTCAGGTTTTAGGGTATCGGGTTTGGGGTTTAGGGCTTGGGGGGTAGACAGCAACAAACTCTATACAGCCTAAACATTGGGCTGCAAGATCTAGCCACAGAGTAATTTAGTCCAGGCAACCTACATGTTGTAGAGGTTCCGGGGGCAGCCTCTTGTCCAGCGAGGGGATCCCTGAATTGGAAATAGAGCAGTAGATGTCAAGCCAAGGGTCATGGAAGGAGCCCTCAAAACCCTAAAACAACTCTAGAATTTAGAAACCCTAGAACTAAACCCCCTCCCCAAAAACCCCAAAAAATAAAACCTGTCTTCGCTGTGGCTCAGAGATACTGAAGCTACGGCTCTGCACGCCGGCGCTGCCATGGCTGAAACCCCACGGCCACTCCTTTTGCTCTCCTTGCTGGTCGCTTGGGGCCGGGCCTCTCCTTGCGAGGGGCCCGTCTGCCTGGATGACACCTTGGGCTTCACGGCCTTGGTTGCTAGGCAGGCCCTTGGATTTTCTACGTCTGTGCGTGTACATATATACATGTATGTATTCATGCAAATATGCATACATCTATATATATATATATATATATATATTTCGCATATTATATTATGTTATGTTATATTCTATTTTATGATATGATATGATATTGTATTATATTATATTACATTGTATTACATTACATTATATTACATTATATTATATTATAGTACATTATACCATATTATATTATATTCTTTTATATTGTATTATATTGTAATATATTATATTACACTACATTATATTATATTATATTACAATATTACATTATATTGGACACACATATATATATATATTTATGTAATTGTTTTTGGTTTGTTTTCCCTTACGGTTTCAAGCGCATCTTGCTTCGAGCATCTCTTTCGGAGGGCTCAGAGGCCCGACCCGAGGTTCAGACGGACCAGCACTACCGGCGGCAGCGGTCTCTGCAAGCCGCCGGAGGGAACCAAAGCGCCCGCCAGGGCGCCCTGCCGGGCACCGGGAGCCCCCCAGTTCCGGACGTCCGGGCGGCCTTCGCGGCCCTGGGCCGCGACGGCCGGGTGCTGGAGATCGACAAGGGGAGGTGGGGGAGTGGGGTGTTGAGACGCTCAGGGTCTATAGGGGTTTTAGGGGTTTGAGGCTATAAGGCTTAGGCTACCCAAAACCAGAAGCGCTCATGAGCCCGAAGCCCGGACGTCGCTGCTCAGTCGCATTCCTGCCCTTGTTGCACCTGACCCTGCAGCGCTTGGCCGTCGGACCACTACAAGAGCTACATGCCCCCATATGCCGAGCACATCGAGGGCGTCCAGCGCTTCAAGGGCAGCTACATTGCATTCTCAGGACGAGTGAACACTCTGCAGCTCTTCCCTCTACTTAAGTTCAAGGGCTGGCAGGGACGGGATCTGCTAGAAGCCTAAGCCCTAAGCCCCTACACCCACGAACCCTGCATGGCTAGGAGCCGAAAGCGACGCGGGTGACCTCTTCATTGCCGCCCTGAACGGTGTGGCAGGCTCTGGCCGTCTGGGTCAGGGGACCGGGGAGGTCGGCAGCCAAGTGCGCGCTGCGTGCTTAGGAGGCAGTTCCTCATGGCCTGGATTCCAGTTCTCCCAACCCCCGGTGCTGTATCTTGAGGGTCTGTGGCTCTAGAAGTGTTCAGGGCAGCCTTTCATGAGGTGGTGAAGCGGGTGATCGTGGACTCGACCCTGACTCTTTGTCATAGTTGGATAACATTTTGCATTTTTAAGGGTACTTAAACCCAATAAGGGATAAGAATTTATATTTTTAATATTATCCCAACCATGAACTAGGACTCATGCCGGTGGCTTCCAAATCAGCGGCGATCTGCTCGCGATCGGGGCCGAAGCCCAGTGCTCGCCGATGCAGAGAGTCTTTGGTGGTTGCAAGCACAGATCCCAGGCGGGGATGTCCGAACATAAAAGGAACCCCAACACTAAATCCCTTTAAAAGAGCCCAAGAAGGGGTACCCCCCCCCCCCCCATTTTCGGAAACATCCAGGTGCTGTTCTTTGATCTTTCTGATCCGCTGAACCCAGTCAAGCTGCCGACTTTCATCGATCGGCCTGGGAAAACTGCCGGGGCAGTTGGGATTGTGCGCCAAGCCAACGGGAAGTGGCTTGTGATGGTGGGTGATGGCGACAACAATAACATTGACCTGTACGTTGAAGGTGGAGGTTTACCCCCCCAATTTAGATCCCCAAACAGTAAGATCAACTTCTAATATGAACCCTAAACCCTAACCCTAAACCCTAAACCCTAAACCCTAAACCTTAAACCCTAAACCCTAAACCCTAAACCTAAACCCTAAACCCTAACTTCGGAAGCCCCCCCCCCCCCCCAGGTGAGGCTGGATCCTTCAACCTCGTGGCATCTTGGGGCAAGCAAGAGCTGCTCAAGGATGCCGGAGTGGAGGGGGGCTACAAGTCCTACCAGAACATGAACCTGGGTTTAGGGTTTGGGGTTTAGGGTTTAGGGTTCAGGGTTCAGGGTTTAGGGTTTAGGGTTTAGGGTTTAGGGTTTGAGGTTTGAGGGGGATTACAGGTTAGGGTTTGAGGTGCTTAGCTCGGTTGTGCTTCGGAATAATTTTGAATTTCCCTTCTTTCCCTCTATAAGGGAACCTACTCGTAAATGCTTTTTCAGAGGGCTTTAAAGAACCACTCAGGAACGTACTTCTCCAAAGCGATGGGCAGCTCTTCATGGTCTGCACTGCCCTGTCTTCTATGTTTATGGGCTCCGACTACTTCGACCTCTTTACTGTCCAGCCCTCCGACGATGGCCGGGCCACCATCACCATGGTGGACTCGAAGAAGGCGGCTTAGGGTTTAGGGTTTAGGGTTTAGGGTTTAGGGTTTGGGGTTTGGGGTTTGGGGTTTACGGTTTAGGGTTTAGGGTTTCGGAGAACCCAGAAAATGGCAGTTCTTTCAGAAGGACCCTCTAAACCCCTGGGCCAAGAAGCCCTAAACCCTAAAAAACCCTACAAACCCTACAAACCCTACAAACCCTACTAAACCCTACTAAACCCTACAAACCCTACAAACCCTACTAAACCCTACTAAACCCTACTAAACCCTACTAAACCCTACCAAACCCTACTAAACCCTACTAAACCTACAAACCCTACAAACCCTACAAACCCTACTAAACCCTACAAAACCCTACTAAACCCTACTAAACCCTACTAAACCCTACTAAACCCTACTAAACCCTACAAACCCTACAAAACGCCCTGAGGCCACCTGCCACGGCTGCACTTTCGCAGCCGCGGCTGGGATCTACGTGAATCCCGAGGATCCCTCGCAGTTGGTTTAGGGTTTAGGGTTTAGGGTTTAGGGTTTAGGGTTTAGGGTTTAGGGTTTAGGGTTTAGGGTCCCGAGGATCCTTCGCAGCTGCTCGGCTACGCGTCGGGCTGGCTGCCGTCCTCGAAGTCCTTTTCAAGTGTGCCGGTGCCGGGCAACACGATCTTTGTCAACGAGTTCTGAGTTTGGGTTTAGGGTTTAGGGTTTAGGGTTTAGGGTTTAGGGTTCGGGGTTCAGGGTTTAGGGTTTAGGGTTTAGGGTTTGGGATTTAGGATTTAAGGTTTAGGGTTTAGGGTTTAGGGCTTGGGCCTTTAGGGTTCCGTGTTGACTGTCTTGGAGGACAGCTCGAACTGTAGACGGCTAGGATGGACGACTTTTGCTTGGGAGGCAGCTTGATTTATGCCACATCCCGATTTAATTCAAACCATGGTGGACAATCGATTCCCGAACTTTGTGGGATGTGGAAGGCTCGCTATGCACGCGACCCTCCATACATTTGTCATTCATGCACTTCGGCGTGCAAAAAATCAGCAGATATGAGGAGGAGAGTCCTTGCTACTCAGGGCCAGACCCAGGTGTCTCAGAAGAGAGGGTTCAGGGTTTAGGGTTTAATTAGGGTAATTAGGGTAATTAGGGTTTAGGGTTTACGGTTTAGGTTTTAGGGTTTCGGGCTTAGGCTTAGGGTGCCCGCAGCTGACCCAGCGGGACTATCTTGGGGTTGTACAGTTGGAGACTTTTCAGCAGAGAGCCGTTCAGAATGAGGACTCCCAAGTACTGCCTTAGCAGTTTTTCGGGAAGCGGAACCCGGAACCCGGAACCCGGAACCCGGAACCCTAAACCCTAAACCCTACACCCTAAACCCTAAACCCTGAACCCTGAACCCTGAACCCTGAACCCTGAACCCTGAACCCCAAACCCTGAACCCTGAAAGAAAAACCTTTCTTCAGAGCCCGGAAGCTTCGGAGTGGTACTGAGGTTCACATTGCGCTGTCTGCTGCACTTCAGCTCTTGCGGCAGAAGAAAGTTCAGGACGGCTGGAATGGATACCCTAGCCCTAAACCCTAAACCCTAAACTTGCCCTAAACCCGAAACCCTAAACCCTAAACCCTAAGCCCGAGTGATGTCGGTTTTTTCAGGGCTAGATAAATAAGGGTTCCGCAATGTAGGGGCCCGCATTCAGGGACCATGTAGGTTCTTCTGGGCCCTGAGTGTTAGGGGGCTTTTTTGCAATAGGTACCCAAAACGCCTAGACTCTAGAGACTCTAGACCCTAAACCCTGAACCCTAAACATGGCTGAAGGTGCTTGCCCACTTGACTCACACCCCTAAACCCTAAACCCTAAACCCTAAACCCTAAACCCTAAACCCTAAACCCTAAACCCTAAACCCTAAACCCTAAACCCTAAACCCTAAACCCTAAACCCTACACCCTAAACCCTAAACCCTAAACCCTAAACCCCAAACCCTATGATTCCTAAACCGCCCCCGACTCGACTGCCCTCAGCCCTGAACCAGGAGCTGCTGTACAGCGATGGCGGTCTCCTGACCCTGCACATGAAGGAGAGCCAGGCAGCCCTTGCATTTAGGGCGGTTTAGGGTTTATAGGGTTTAGGGTTTATAGAGTTTAGGGTTTAGGGTTTGGTAGAAGGTTTAGGGTTTAGGGTTTCGAGCGGTTGTGTAGGGATTAAAGTTTGAGGTTCGTTTCTTGCGCTTGGAGTTTGAGCGACTCTCGATGTGTTGTGTGTTGAAGTTGCCAGGCTTCCTGTAAGTAGACACGGGCCTTCCCAGAAAGCATAAACTCTACTTAAACTCTGAACCCTCAACCTCAACCCTAAACCTTTCGCCAATGCTGGGATTAATTTTGCCAGGGGTCCTCTGGCTCCAGTCTCCTCTCTCAGTTGGTGCCTGGCAGCGAGGACTGCTTGGGGGGCTTTCAAGATCCCTAAACCCTAAGCCCTAAACCCTAGACCCCAACCCTAAACCCTAAACCCTAAACCCTAAACCCTAAACCCTAAACCCTAAACCCTAAACCCTAAACCCTAAACCCTAAACCCTAAACCCTAAACCCTAAACCCTAAACCCTAAACCCTAGACCCTAAACCCTAAACCTTAAACCGTCAGAAAGGATTAGGAGTCAGGTCTTGCGGGGGGAGGGGGGGGGGCTTGCGGGTTGGGGATGTCAGTGTGTAGGCTCGCAGGTTGCAGCTTATAGGGCGCACCTTCAAGGACCCCAGCCATTCTGTACTATGTACAAACGACCCTAAACCACCTAAAGGTTGGGGGTTTGGGGTCGGAGGTTTCGGGTTGAGGACCTTATCAACCCCTACATGAAACTTGAAGCCTAAAGCTAGGCGGAGGGCTTGCAGCCAGCAAGGTGTTTGCTTTCTTGAGGCAGCCCGACGACCCTGACAAGCCTCGTAAGCCTAAACCCGACGTCAAGCCTCACCAAACCCTGGGTTTAGGGTTTAGGGTTTAGGGTTTAGGGTTTAGGGTTTAGGGTTTATGGTTAAGGGTTCTGCACAACATTCTCCTTGCCTCAGGCGAAGGTCTTCGACGTGGCCGATGAGGCCGAAGGGACTCAGTGGGGAGGATTCGGCACTGGAAGCCCTCTCTCAACCCTCATGAACAGCCAGCGAACAAACTCCGCCAACCCTAAAAACCCAAAATGCGCAACGCCAAACCCTAAAAACCCCAACCTGCAAGCCCAACCCTGAGCCCCTAAGCGTTAAAACCCTTAGACCATTGAACCCTAAAGCTGCCCTTAAACCCCAAGATCCCAAAACCCAGATCCCAAAACCCCCTAGGTCCCCCCCACCTAAACCCTAAGCCCTAAACCCTAAACCCCTACCCCTCTAAACCCTGACCTAAACCCCGGATAACCCCTGGAGGCGTTAGTCTCCCTTCGCTACGTGGCGCCCGCCAAGGGTGCCTCCCAGGTCCGCTTTGTGTTTGTGGTGGGCGGACGGGTGTTTAGGGTTTCGGGTTTAGGGTTTAGGGGTGTAGGTTAGGGGTTTGGGGGCTTGGGGTGTAGAGGTTTTGGGGTTTTGGTTGTTGAACGTTTTGGGGTTGAGGTTTTTTGGGCTTAGGGGCTTCGGGTTGCTGGGTGCGGAGGAGTTCCAGGAGGGTTAAGCGGAGACTCAGCAAGCCCTTGTCGTGCCCGAAGCCCTGGTACCCCAACCCTTCAAACCCTATCGAAACCCAGCTAAACCCTCTGGTTGTAACAAAGTGAAACTGCGTCGGCGTCCTTACACATCGTGTTTTCTCAGCATCCCTAAACCCTAAACCCTAAACCCTAAACCCTAAACCCTAAACCCTAAACCCTAAACCCTAAACCCTAAACCCTAAACCCTAAACCCTAAACCCTAAACCCTAAACCCTAAACCCTAAACCCTATATCTAGCATGCATCTCTCGGGCCTGATCAGACATCCAGCTGCGCTGTGACAGCAGGTGATGTCGCTGCTTCTGCCCCTGATCTTCCTTTTTGTGTGGTATCAGATTGCAAAGTCGAGCTCTCAGAAGTTTGCTTGCACAATGGCGCCGAGCTGCAGTGGTGGTATACTCGGAATGACAGGTCATTTTGCTTGCTGAGTGCGCGCTTCTATCATTTTCACGAATTTAAGGTGTCCGGGGCGGGGGGGGGGGGAGGGGGGGCCCTCCTTTGGGGTGCGTCACACAAGGAATCCTTGCATGTGGCGCGACCTAGGGGGGCCTTCTAATAGAGCATTTTGTTTGATATTGACAACGGTTGTTCTCGCACATATATGCTCTTTTTGCAACGCAAGCTCACATATGACAGAGTTGGTTCGCGGCATATGTGCGGTCTTCATGTGTGCAACATAGCTCATATATCGGATACACTTTCTACAGACATCGTGTCAACATTGTCCAGTTAACTAGGTGGTGGCCCGGTTGTTTCTCATGCGAACCAGTACTGTCTTTGATGTTGAAATCGCACAACGCAAGCTCGTCCAGGATACTCTTCGTGTGCTTGCTGTCTTGGTGCGTGCAACTCAAGCTCACATATGAGAGAGTTGGTTCGATATATATGTGCTGCCTTCAAGTGTCCTATACACAAGCTAGGCACTAGCTTTCGTTCGCCCTGCTCTCAAGTTTGAGACAGTGTCACACAACTCAATCGAGGTCACTGATCACACGCGACAACAAGTGGACACCGACGAGAAGTCGCTTGCAGACCTGTGCCTGTCTTGCTGCCAGCGATGCATCAGTTCTCTGAGGGTCTCACGACAGCCCTACGCCCCGGACCAGGAACCCAAAGTCCTGAACTCCTAAACTACGAATTGCTTAAGAATCCCCCAAAAGGGTAATATAGGGATCATTGTTTGTTGTTTTTTGGGGGGTTTCTTAAGCAAATAGTAGTAAACACAAAGAGGGGAATTCTGAACCCTACACCCAAGCTTAGTGGATGGCAGGCCCCGAGTGAGGACGACCTTCGCAGATGTGGTGAGCCGCAGTAAGGCCGGCCACAGCAGGGTGGGTTTAGGGTTTAGGGTTTAGGGTTTAGGGTTTAGGGTTTAGGGTTTAGGGTTTAGGGTTTAGGGTTTAGGGTACAGCAGGGTGGGTCTGGGGTGTCGTGATTAGGGCTCAGGGTGTGGGCTTAGTTAGGGGTGTAGTGTCGGCGTTCTTCAAGGGGGCTGTGAGGGTTGCTGAGCATGAGGGGGGGTGTCTGAGTTAGACGTAGAGAGCTGCTCGGAACATACCCAAGAGCCTGAACAGATTCAGACTGCTGTGTCTTATGAGCCCTAAAACCCCATAAGCCCTAAACCCCCAAAAGCCCCAAACCCTAACCCCCCCTGCGCCCTACACCCTCAACCCTCAACCCTAAACCCAAAAAGAACCCCCAAAAGTCCCAAAGCCCAAGGCGTAAAAGCCCCTGGAGCTGCAAGGTCGAGCTCAGTGAGATTGTGGAATACCTGAACCACCCCCAGAAGTTCCAGCAGGCGAGTTTCTGAGCGTTTCTGCCGTTCAGCCATCTTTGCACCTGGAGGTCCAACTTGAAGCTGGAATTCGGGTCTAGGGTTTAGAGTCTCCTAGGTAGGATAAGGGGGACCCTGAAAAAGGGAACCCTTCTCTTCTGAACCCTCTTCTGGCTCTCTTAAACAGGGAACTTACTGAGAGGGTCTATAGCCCCAAGGGTCCCCCTAACTGCGAAACTCCAGATGCC